AAAAAAAAAATTTGTCCCGACGATCTATCTTCTATACGCAAATGGCTACCATATTGAAAAATATACTATTTTTGTATGATAATTATGGGTTTTGTATTTTATTTTAATAGAAGTTGATGTTGCTTTTGCAATTATCCATCAATTTTTTAAAATTAAACACTATCTACAGATTTGCATCGAAGCGTTTCTTATGATAGTGATTTTAATCACTGTCAGATTAAATCTATACTGGACCCTACTATGCAATATCTCCACTATGCCACGACCCCACTGTGCTACCGTTTTATTAATAAGCATATATCTATATATTATTTTTATAAAATAAAAACCTAGTAGGTAGTCAGACATAGCATAGTAGAAACAAGACATAGTTGAAAATTGTATGTCTAAAGGAGGTACTGGAATAGAACCTAAAAACCAGTTCCCTATTAATATTTAGAATCTAAATCTTTAAAAATAAAAACTACTTAACACTTATTCAGTTTTTATCTGTAAAAAGAGTTATATCATCAAAATAGTATAGTAACTCAAAAATTAATTTTTTAATTCTTCATATATCAAATTTATATATAGTAATTAAAAATTTAATATATCTATAATATTGTTTTTCAAAAATGTTTAATTCTCAATAGTTTCTGAAACAATGAGTTATTTACCCGAATTAAATGAACTGTAGAATAGTTAGTGTAACCTTAAATAATTTTTTATAGAACCCAAAAAATATGGTGTTAGAGTTCATACCTATAAAACACTATTGTTCTAGTCCATGATTTAGAGAGATTTAATTCTTTATAGTTATTTGTCTATAGTATTATCTGTAAAACTTTTCCTTATTACATTTTTAAATAATAAATAAGCCAATTTTTATATAAAACTTCACTCCATAAAAAAAATGTTGATATCCGACCAGTATACAACAAAATACTTGTGACATACTCATATTAGTAGTCATTTTGTAAATAAAATATCACTAACTTGCTGGCCAACTGAGCAGCTCCCAGTAAATGAAAGAAGGTTTATACGTGTATCTTTTACCATTGATATTCCTACATCTAAATCACCAGTACACAATGAAAGAACTGATCCAGGAATATTATTCTTTTCTAAAATTGACGATATTATTTTTGTAGTTGCTACTGATGTTAAAGAAGTAGAAGGAGATCCTTTCCATATTACTGAATTACCACATACCTATAGAAATATATATATTAAAAAATATCATCGTAAGTACATGATTTCTTGATAGAAAAAATTCATAGAAACCAAAGACCAAATTAAGACAAAGTGATGTTTCAAGTTGAAAAATTAAATGAGATCCTTGTACTACAAGTGTAAATTAAGGGGACTTAGCCCCCAAAAGTTTTAAGAAAATTATTATGGGTGATTAGCAGTAACCCATCCCAACTCATTGATAATTTTTAAGTTTTATTGTGGTAGGTTTTGATGGTTCGAAAAAATAAATGATTAAATAATAATTTCTATTTGTCATGAATAATTTAGAATAATCTTATATGTTTAGAGATTTCTACAATATTTTTAATATTTTGAATAATAAATGATAAGGACAGAGTTGTAAAAACCAAATAGAGATGTTTTTTATCAATGTATTATGTCATATTATTTACAATTAAGTTATAAAGATAGTTACACACCATTGATATAGCACTGTTCCAACCGTAAACAGCAACAGGGAAATTGAATGCACTTATCACACCAACTATACCCAATGGATTCCACTGTTCAAGCATAATATGATTCAACCTTTCCGATGGAAATATTGAACCATTAAACATCCGAGATAAACCAACAGCATAATCACATATGTCTATATATTCTTGTACTTCTCCAATGCCTTCAGCTAAAATTTTACCTATAAAAATTAAAATTAAATAATAAAAATGTCTGCGAGATGCTAAATTAATGAATAGTAACACTTATTTCTCAGACAAAATAACTAAACTTTTTTTAGGAGTTATTCTTCATCTATCTATCTACAATCAACTATCTAGGAGTTAATGTTTTACATAGTAAAGTTGTTGGATTATGAGAAGACATTATTTCTTAAATAGTTTTAAACTATTTAAATAGTTTACTTGCTTACCCATTTCCAACGATACTAATTTTCCAAGAGGTAATATTTTACTTCTTAATGCATTACCAATTTGTCTAACAATATCACCACGTTTAGGTGCAGGTATATCAGACCAAATGCTCCATGCTTTTAATGCATTTGATACACATCTTTCATAGTCTTCTTTATTACCTGTACGAACTGTTGCTATTGGTTGTCCATTTGATGGACACATAGAAGTAATTAACTAAAACATAGAAAAACTAGATAGAAAACAACAAATTTGTGTATGTTTTAATTTACATTTCCATTTGCTTTCCATTTTCCATCATAAACTCCATCATTTTCTTCACATAAATCCAAATCCTTCAAAAAGGAATACTTACTATTATTCACTAAAAAACTACTATATTTTTTAGAAATAAAAACTTTTGGAAATTTGCTATATTTAAATAAATTGAAGTTGAAAAAATACATATTATTTCAAATATTTCTAACCATTGTTATGATATACAAATTATTGAAAATGAATAGTTAGTATTTATGGTTAGTCTTTTGTTTGAAATTGAAGATAACTAATCTAAATAAATAATTAATGCAAAAACTTTAACCTTTAATAGTCATACAAATTTTTATTTTTTAAAACATAGTTCGATAGGTATACTAATCTGTAAAAATTAGGTTTTTAAATATCTTATCTTCTATTTTTATAATAGACTATTACCTTATTTGGTTTAATTTGATAAAATAATTTACAGCATTAATTAAATATTTTATACCGATAAGTGCTCCTACACGTGATACTTCAAACAATATTTAGAAGTACAACATATATTCTTTCAACACATGCTAATTTACCCTAAAATGGGTGACAGAGTAATCATAGGCATAACTAAAGAAAAATGTTTGGTGGAGTTAAATTATCATTCCCATCCTAAAATTTTTCAATTCAACCTTTCAAAAATTTCAGACAATTACAAATACAGAGTGTCTCCACTTAAATGCAGAAATATAATCGAAATTTGGTTTACGCTACTTTGAAAGGTCCTAAGTTTGTCCAACTTTGTTATAGCATTATATAGTAGCGTAATAATGTTTAGAGTTTGAAGGAATTAATTCTATAAATATCTTCCAAAACTCTAACATCAATAACAACATATTTTAAGTATTCAAGTCAATTAATACTTATTTGTAATGGCTGATGGTGTGCTCGGCACAATTTAACGAATTTATAAATACATATAAATTTGCCACCTACTTATAACATTTAATATAATAACACATACTTAAAAAAATTTTTAAATATAATTATTAACATCTTTAACTACGTTTTAATCATGTTTCTATTATTTATCACTAATAAATAAAAATCGTATTTTTTAGCTTCGATGCGAAGCTGAGAAGGTATTTATTTTACCATGATGTGTTTTTTTTTTTATGTCTGTTGCCACTTTTTCTCAGCTCTCACTGGACAGATTTCTTTCAACAATACGACAAAAGATCACAAATCGTATCTAGTTGAAGACAATAACCTTAAAAATTGAAAAATTATCCCTTGTTCCCCACAAATGGGGGAAATCTCCAAAAAAATGACAAAATTAAAAATCTGTAAATTATGTCATTTTTTTCACTTTTTTTTCTTAAAACTTCCATAACTTTTTCAAAATTCAACAAATCAACATAATTTTTTTTATACTAAAACCTTAGATATTTTCCTTTCATTTGATATCATTTTTTTGAAAATCTAACACTTAACCTGCTCACAAGGGGGTATTTTAAATAGTAACTTTTTCAACTTAACTTTTGAAAATGTTTTGGAAATATTCATAGATTTATTTAATCTTAAATTAAAGCTTATACTATGAAAAACTTTACTATGAAAAAAAAAATATATATGAAATATACATTTTCTTCTTGGTGAAAATGTCTACCGTATTCAAAAATATGCTATTTTTGTGTTAAAATTCTGTATTTTGTATTTTATTTTATTTTAAAATATCTTACAAGGGAAATACACTGACTTTTCATGGATATTATATAATTTAATTGACATAAAGTAAAGTTCGTAAGACATAAGAAATTAAACTTATGAACATTTTTTTACTTTTTTAAAGTCGAAAAAGTAATTTTTAAATTTGAGTTAGCTTAAATAACCAATTTTATCATTTTACGAAAACAATGATCAATTGCCGAATCGGTAACACTTGTGTCTTTCACTCTTACGGTACGACGTTCAAATCTGTCTGTGGCATTTAATACTTCGCATTTTTTTTGAGTTAGAAAACAATTTTCAAATCATTTGATTTTTATCTCATTTAGATTCAGTAACTTCAATAAATATCAAAGATCCCATCACTATACTGCCGTGCTAAGCAAAAACAGGATAACTCCAAAATTAAAAAAAAATTTTTTTTGTTTCTATAGGTAAATGTAGTGGTTTTACACCGATTTTTGTTGTAAAAGTAACATATTTCCTATTAAAACCCATCTAAAATTGAAATATAAAATAAGAAAATATACGGTAAGTCCAATATATTTGATGTTTTGTAAGCGAAAAAACGGTAAATCCAAATACTAAGCAAAAACTTGGTATATCACATAAAAAATAGTGGAGTTACCGTCTTTTGACTTATGTTCATACATTGGGAAAAAAGGGTATCTTGATTTACTGTTAAAAATGTTTTTTTGTGTTCCTGAAAAATCATGTTGACTGGAGTTATCCTGTTTTCGCTTAGCACGGCGGCAGTATAGTCTACCCTCGTGAGAAGAAATTTCTTATTCATGTTAATATTATTTTACTATGTGGTTCTTTTTGTGTCTACTATTTATTTTGCCAACCCTCACTTTGCCAACTCCTACTTTTTTCAACGATACGTCAAATGATTACAATTCGTATTTAGTTGAAGATATTACCCTTAAAAAATTCCTTATTCAAATAAAAAGTAACTTAACCAGCTTTTTCCATACAAACAATTAAAATCATTCATTCCTAATATTTTTTAAAGTATATTGTCGAATTAGATTTGATATTATATAATTTTACTTTGAAATTTATTAATTTTTTACTCTATTTGTGTGTGCTACTACCAGTCTATAACATTACAAAATTATTCGTAACATCTAGCTATATAAATCATACATCTAAAAAAAAATGATTTTTTATCTTAACTGAATTTAACAATAGATGAAATAAAAAATTTACTGAAAATAGTAGTTATATTTCCTGGTTGCATATTAATCTTAACAATACCATTTTTAGCTTCGATGCGAAGCTGAGAAGGTATTGGTTTTACTATGATGTGTTTTTTTTTTTTGTGTGTGTGTCTGTTACCATCTTTTCTCAGCTCTCACCGAACGGATTTCTTTCAACGATACGACAAAAGATCACAAATCGTATCTAGTCGAAGACATTACCCTCAAAAATTGAAAAAATTTTCCTCGTTCCCCGTAAATAGGGGAAACCTCCAAAAAAATTACAAATTTACAAATTGCTAATTTTCAAAATTTTTTCAATTTTTTTTACTAAACACTGCCGTAACTTTTTCAAAAATGAACATATTAATTTAATTTTTGTTTTTTATAGATGTTTGATGTCTTTACCTATCATTTGGTATATTTTTTTTGTAAATTTGACCCTTTATCTGCCCACAAAGGGGATTTTAAATTACAACTTTTTCACAAAAAATTTACTTTTTCAACTTAACTTTTGAAAATGTTCCGGAAGGTCTGACACTTTTATATATATCTTAAATTAAAGCTTATGTAATATACTTTAATTTAAAAAAATTTCGAACTTTATTTTGTCTTTACGGTGAAAATGGCAACCAAATGCTATTTTTGTGTGAAAATTCTCGATTTTGTATTCTACATTTTTAACTTTATAATGCTATAACTTTTTGAAAAGTGTATAGATCAACACAATTTTTTTATGAGAAATAATATTTTTTAATAATCCCTTTTTTATTCGACATACTTTATCTTAATCAGGATATTAATAAGGATTTAGCAGATCATGTAGCTTTTTGAATAATACACCAATTTTTTTAAATTAAACACTATCTAAAGATTTGCATCGAAGCGTTTTGTTTTGATAGTGATTTTAATCACTGTCAGATATCATTATACATGATTCAACTATAACACGGCTCCACTGTGCCGCGACCCCTCTGTGCTGGGTTTTTTTCAATAACACTTTTGCCGGATGTTCCAATTTCAAATTTATTTTTGTTAATTTAATTCTAAACTCATTATCATTAAGATCATTAGAACTAGATGATTTTTAAATTTTATTTTCAAAAACACAAGGTTTGGCCTGGTCTAGTGTTCAATCACCAGGGTTCCAACGAATGTTTTCTTGTGATTTTATCAATAGTGGTGTCTGGTCTCGAAAGCAAGCTTACTATTATAGTTAACTCTAACAGTTTTTTTGATTGTATGACAGTATAATACAATTTACGCAGATAAATTTGCTTTGCAGTAAAGGAGCCTGTGTGTGTTGCTTAAGTTTCTAACTGAGAGGCATACAACGTCATGTAAATTCTTAAACAAAACAATGAAATCTAATTTGAAAAAAACATTTGGTGTTCTGCAGGAACCCTCAAAAAAAGTATAAATCTACATTGAAAAAGTCCAAAAGAGAAAGCTGGATAAAAATCTGTAGGGCAGTACAACAACAACCCATATTTAGTAGACTTCTACGTTCACTAAGAATTCGTTCACAAACCATGATATTGTTAAGATCATGTTTGCTAAGAATACAATTTACTGACTCTATAATCTATAATAGATAGTAGCTACATGAAGTTCAAGCCATGCATATTCTGGTTAGCTAGCTAACAAAGAAAGTCATAAGACCAAGTGGTATAAGATGGGCAACAAATAATTTTGTCAGTTTTAAAGCTGTGACAAAATATTTCCTATATTTATACAAGATAGACTAGAAATAATTATCACTAATTTCAGCAATATATTAGAAAATAAAATGATAAAGTATTTTAATTTTCCAATTATTTGTTAATAAAAAGGAAATTTTGTTTTTATGGATATTAGCTCGCTGATGTAACTAGGTATATTAATAATATGTAGTGATATCGAAAATGATAAGGAATTTAATTTACATACGTTTCCATAAGCATATAAAAGAAAAAGCATATACCTATACCAAGGTTTATGGATACTAAGTATCTATAAACCTTTATTATCACTAGCATTCAGAAATTTGCCATTATGCAATAGTACTGTAAGATTCAACACTTAATTTCTTCCCCGAGAGTTTATTTGTTTAAACTTAATAATTATTCAGTTGTTAACTTGATGCTGAAATGTTTTACTACTTTATAAATTGTTAATAGTTTAAGTTAGTAGTAACCTTATAAGTTCTTTAATTAACAATAATTCTGTTGCTGTCAGTATAGCTTTTAATGTTGAAGAATTAGTTTTTCGATTGAATTTATTAACAGTTTTCGAGCGATTTCATTACGTAATTAATAACTGTAAGTTTTTTATTTTATATTTTAATTGATTCAAGTACAAAGTTTTATTAATTATTTGTTAATTTTTTCTTAAAGAATATTGAAATATTTTCATTTATATATTAAATATGAAGATGTAAATCATGATTGTTACTAAAAATTTGAGTATACAGGGGCTGTATTCCCACCATTTCTTGAGACATACTTAATGTTTTGAAAAAGTCAAAGATATCTAATGTTAAGCAAAAATCTTTTTTTGACAAATTAGTAGCCTACATTTATTTTCAGGGCAGAAAATTTCAATAATTTGCATTTTTTTGTGTGTACACATATAAATAAGCCATTTAGACACAAATACTTTTATATTTTCACTTATTCAATTCATAAATTTTGAAAAGAATATTTTTGGGAAAAATTCGAAGATCGGGTGGTGGAAATTGAAAGGGGAAAATGAAAAAGAGTTTGTAAAGACGGTAAAAAAGAGGACGGTGTGGAATGTCAAAGGAGACATAAATGATATGTGGAATAGATTTACTAGTTGTGTAAAGAATACTGAAAATGAGATTGTTGGTGAGAGTTAGAGTAGAATGCCAGGAAACAAGAAAACCTGATGGTGGGATGAGGACGTTAAAAAAATCATAGAAAGTAAGAAAAAGCAATTCAAAGTATGACAAAAGAGCAAAAGGAGAAAGACTGGATGAAGTATAAACGCTTGTGCAAAGAAGCCAAGTGTGCAGTAAGTAAGGCAAAGTTTAAGAAGTATGATAGGCTAGGAACAAAGGAAGGCGAGAAAGAAATCTATAAACTTGCAAAGATAAGAGAGAAAAGGTCTAAAGATTATCATTATATAAGGTGTATAAAAAGTGTTGATAATAAGGTACTCTCGAGTGATGATGATGTGAAAAAAAGGTTCAAAGAGTATTTTGAAAAATTACTGAATGAGGAGTATCCAAAAGAGACGTTAGAGGATATTTTGTGGAATGAGGGGCTGGTAGATTTAATTAGTGAGAAAGAGGTATGGGAGGCTGTGGCATCAATGAAAAAGAATAAAGCAGTAGGACCAGATGAAGTGCCAGTAGAAGTATGGAAAATATTAGGCTGTGTTGGCATAAGGTGGTTGAAGGAACTTCTAAATAAAATCTTATTAGAAGGGAAAATTCCAAATGAATGGAGGAATAGTATTGTGGTACCGATATTTAAAGGTAAAGGAGGCATACAGGAGTGTGGAAATTATAGAGACATAAAGCTTATGAGTCATAGTATAAAAATTTAGGAAAAGGTAATAGATAAGAGAATAAGAAATGAGACATCGGTATCTAAAAACCAGTTTGGATTTATGCCTGGTAAGTCAACAATGGAGCCAGTATTTTGTGTGAGACAACTAATAGAAAAGTTTAGGGAAAAGAAAAAAAAGCTGTATATGGTTTTTATAGATTTGGAGAAAGTATATGACAGAGTACCGAGAAAGGTTTTAAAGTGGGCATGAGAAAAGAAGTCTTGAATAGGTACATTAATACAATAGAAGATATGTATGATGGCACTTGTACCAGGGTAAAAAGCGTAGGAGGCGTATCAGAAGGTTTTCGGGTAAAAGTAGGAGTACACCAAGATTCTGTTTTAAGCCCTTACTTATTCTCTATAGTGAAGGATGAAATTACTAGAGAAATACAAGGAAAGGTGCCGTGGTGCATGTTGTTTGCTGACGATATAGTGTTAATACGAGAAAATAGGAAGGAAGTTAATCAAAGGCTAGAGATGTGAAGATCAGCTCTTGAAGAAAAGGATTTAAGAATAAATAGAAGTAAGACAGAGTATATAGAGTATGAGTTTGACAAAGGAGAACTTGAGGTAGGTGAAATGAGGAGGTCAGTGACAATAGGCGAGGACGTGATTGGGAGGTGGAGAGTTTTAAGTATTTAGGGTCAGTTGTGCAAAAGAGTGGTGATATTGATGAGGATGTAAGACAGAATTAAGTGCGGTTGGGTTGAAGTGGAGAGAAGCGTCTGGCGTCTTATACAATAAAAGAATTCCAATGAGGCTGAAAGGTTAATTCTACAAGGCTATTATATAAGGCTAACCATGATGTATGGTTCAGAGTGTTGGGCGGTTGATAAGAAAGTAGAGCAGAGATATGAGAATGCTAAGATGGATGAATGGAGTGACTAGAAAAGATAGAATAAGAAACGGGCATATAAGAGGGAGTATAGGTGTAGTGTCAATCGTGGATAAGATGAGAGAAAATAAACTTAGATGGTTTGGTCATGTTATGAGGAGAGAAGAATCGGAAGCTGTAAGAACAGCTATAGAAATGAATGTTGATGGAAGAAGAGGTAGAGGAAGGCCAAAAAAGAGATGGAGGGATGCTATTGAATGCGATTTGAGAACAACTGATGTGAGCGTAGATGATGTGGGAGATCGTGTCAAGTGGAAGTTTAGGATAAGAGTGGCCAACCCCAAGTAGTGGGGATTAAGACGAGGAAGAAGAAGAAGAATATTTTTACATTTTTAGGCCTCTTTAAGTTTTAATGCATGTTTGACTTGATTGCTTTGAAATATATTTTACACATTTCTTTAATTTTTTTTGAAAAAAACATTTTATTAAGATATTTTTAATAAATATGTGTGCATAAGTTATGTATATTTTATTCTTTTTTAGAGTTTTATGTTCTCTATCTTTCTTATTTGCTTTTGTTATCTCAATTAAATTGACTAATCACAACCCCAGTTTTAAGATATGTGTTTAACCTATAACAAATATAAGTATTTTATATATTATTTTACATGTTCAAAAATAATTTAAAATACAATATTATTTTTTAATTCAATTTTTTAGATAATATTACTTGTTTTCAGTTTGTACATGTTTACATAATAAATAATGAATAATTCAAACAAATGGAAAAAAAATTTGAAGATTAATAAAAGAAAAAATAATCAATTTCAATCAATAAGTCCAGAAAATAATGAAATCCTATTTAAAAGTCATGATTCTTTACAAATCTCTGAATATAATCAAAATTTTATCTTTCATGGATGGAAGTTGTATTTTCCTGATGAAAAATATGATAAAAATAGTTTGACAACCAAATATACTTTGGCTGTTGTTTCATTTCTTAAAAAATATAAACAAAATCTATCAATTGAGCAACTTGTTGAAAATAAATCATTTTTGTTGAATGTTGATCTTCTTAATCAAGATGTAGATTTTACTTCAGTATGGATTAATTTTTGGGAAGATTTGACAAATCATCCTAACTATACTTTATTATGTTTAGGTCTTGCAATTCATCAACATGCTTTGGATGAGGTAAATAAAAGTAATGAAAATAAAGCAACTTTATTCAGAGATTTACCTATGATACATCCAAGACTTACACATTTTGGTCCTCAATTTCCATTGAAATGTTTAAAAGCAGAGACTGATGGAAAATTAGTTTTAATCAATGGTACAGTAATAAAAGCTAGTAGTTTAAAATTTCAATGTTCATGGCTAGCTTTTTCATGTAATTATTGTAGTTATGTACAAGGTATCAAGCAGTTAGATGGAATTTTTACAAAACCTAAACAGTGTGTTAATAAACAATGCCGTAGCCATTCATTTTCTGTCAATAAAAGCTCCCCTTTAACTATATCTATTAACTGTCAAACAATAAGATTACAAGAGTTACAAAGTGATGATCAAAGGGAAAGTGGTAGAGTACCTAGAACTGTTGAATGTGAACTAACTAATGATTTAGTTTATACATGTATTCCGGGTGATATTGTTAGTGTTACAGGAATAGTTAAAAAAAAATTATGCATTCAAAATAAACAAACTGGTCATAATAAAGAATCTAATGTTTTTCTGCAGTATATAGAAGTTGTTTCAATACAAAATAGTAAAAATCAATCAAAAGGAAATATAACAAGTACTACTATACAGTTTACAATGAAAGATTATTACTTAATTCAGAGACTTCACTCAAAACCTCACCTTTTTGAATTAATGGTTAAATCGTTGTGTCCTGGAATTTATGGTCATGAAATGGTAAAAGCAGGATTATTATTATCATTATTTGGAGGTAATAGCTCAAATCAAACAAGAGGAGATATTCATGTTTTAGTTGTTGGTGATCCTGGTCTTGGTAAATCTCAAATGCTCCAATCAGTTTGTAATATTTCTCCTCGAGGTGTATTTGTTTGTGGAAGTACATGTTCTTCAGCAGGGTTAACTGTTAGTTTAACACGAGAAAAAGGTATAGATTTTTCTTTAGAAGCTGGAGCTGTAGTAATAGCTGATCAAGGAGTTTGTTGCATTGATGAATTTGACAAAATGACTCAAGATCATAATACACTATTAGAGGCAATGGAACAGCAAACTATTAGTATTGCTAAAGGTGGAGTAATATGTTCATTGCCTTGTCGTACTACTATAATAGCTGCAGCAAATCCTATAGGTGGGCATTATAATAGTGAAAAGGGTGTTTTAGATAATTTAAAAATGAGCCAAGCTATGTTATCACGTTTTGATTTAATCTTTTTGTTATTAGATAAACCTGATGAGTTTGCTGATAAAAAATTAACTGCTCATGTTCTTAATATGCATAAAAGTTTAATAGTAACAGATCAAAATAAATTAGATAAAAACACTGTTTTTTTAAAAGACAGATTGTCACAAACTTATCACAATGATGACTATATTTCTCATGCAGAATTACGTAAATACATTGCATATGCTCGAAAATATATCCCATTTCCAATATTATCTAATGATGCCAAAGAAATGTTACAACAATATTTTATTGAACTTAGAAAAAATAATATGAATTATGATATACCTATAACAGTTAGACAATTAGAATCGTGTATTAGATTAGCACAAGCACGAGCTAAAGTTGATTTAAGAGAAGAAGTGTCTGCTGAAGATGCACTTGAAATAATTGAGTTACTTAATTTTAGTTTAGTTAAAACTCAATGTGATGAATTTAGTGGATTTGGCTTTAAGAAAAATGGAAAAAAATTGGGTATTCGTGCCCAATCAAGAAAATTATTGGCCGAATTACAAAAGCATTTTAAAGTTGAGCGCTTATGTAGCATTGATCAAATGAAAAAATTTGCCAATCAATTGAAAATTCCAATGTTGGATTTTTATAATATAATAGATTTGCTAAATAATGAAGCTGTTATTATTAAAAAAGGAAACAATATATACGAGCTAAAATTATAATAACAGTCAAATAACAATTATTTTTTTTTAATTGTAGTTATATTTTTTTGTTCTAGAAAATAATTATTTAATAAAATTTTATTTTAAACTTTTATCATGAGTATATTTATCATTTAATTTTTAAATTTGATAAACTGTTAGTAAATTTAAAAAATTTTAGAAATTTGCCTTCCAGCAGATAACAGTTTATTTTTATTATTTTAATATGTTACGTTTAAAATCTTAAAGATTTTTTTTATTTTTACTAGATGGACAGAACTGAATTTTGTGGTTGCAAAGGTATGAGGACTTGTTTTATATGTGAAGAAAAATACAATTTAACACCTACAGTTGATTCAAGTAGATTAAAAGTATGTTATAAAAATATTTTAAATATTATAGAATCAAAAAAAGTATCATGATAATAATAATTTAAAAAATTTGTGCGAAAATAAAATGGCGCCAGTTTTTTAATGTTTTAGGAAACGTTCATTAGGTAATAGAAGCTATTACTTTAATACTATTAGTTATAATTATTTTATGTTTATAATTTATAGTAAATTCGAAATAATAATTATAAGGGTGGTGGTATTTATACACAAGTAAATTTAAAAAAATAGTTACATTTGACCTAAAATAATGGAATATACTAAGTAAAGCTGATTATTTTTTGTACAAATGTATTTTTATATTTCCTGTTCAAATATATGACAAAAATTTTTGGTTAATTTTGTGAATTGAACAAACATTAAGGGAACTATCATAATCTTTAATTTTTTTTAGTTATAATATGCAAGCTCTTCTAATCAATTAACTTAAATTATTTTAGCACCTCTTAACAATTTGCCATAACAAAAAATGCATTTATTTTTATCAATCAAATATTAAAAAGAAATTTAATTGTTAATAATTGTTGCCGAGGCCTCTCCTCAATACTCAGTAGGCCTGCCTACTATTAGGATGTCTGCTATTCAATTGTAAGCACAATAATTACTGGTGCACTGAGCTATAGCAAAGTGGGCGGGCACGTTCTGGCTCTGTATTTAGCTATTTTTTTATGGAAATGTTTATATTTTTTAAGGTGACTATTCTTTATTTTAAGTTTCAAAATAAATAAATAAATTTATTTAACTTGATAACTACACAAATTTTAACTAACCTTTTTGTTTAAAATATTTAAAAAAAACTTACATCCTTATAAAACTGCAATTGCTTGGTTATTTATTTATAATTTAGAAAGTTCTATCTTCATAAAATTAAATAAAGAAACTTAGATGGGAAACAACCTCCGAAGAGACAAATAATAACAATTTAAGAACATATAGGTTACATAAAAATTGTTACTATAATTTTTTTTTTTAATTATTTATGACAATAAGAATGCAAAAAATAGTGCTTTTAATAAAATTATGAGCTTTACTCATAAATTTACTGTTAATAGTAAATATATAGGATCTAAAAATAATTATATAAGTTTTAGTAATAATCTATTGTTATGTGGCTAACATATATCAATCTAAGCCCCTTTTTAAATGCTCATAAAATTTCATGTTTATTAATGTCATTTTTAAATTCAATTTAAACCAAAAACAATTTTTAACTGTCCTAAATATTAAAGTTAAAAGACTAAAAAATTAGAGACAAGATAGGTTAAACAAAATTTTTTGGATAAAAATATCACACAGATTATTGAAGAAACACTAAAAATGAAAATCAATAATAATAATTAAAAAAAAAAAATTGATAATTTTTTTTTTTGTAACTAATTATTCATTACTAATTAGTAATTATCTTTAAAACTACTATACTAGTAATAGGTAAATACTAATTGTAGATATGAAATTAGCCTTTAAAAGTGGTTTATAAAAGTATATTTTTGTTTTTGATAACAATTAAAAATTCTTAAGCTCAGATTATTACATAATGTACCATTAAAACGTGTGATGTTGTCACATTAACATTATTGTAAAGAATTGTTATAGTAAAACACTTTATAATAATAAAGCATACTTCTAAAAACTGATGGATTGACGATTAATAATTATTGCATAATTGACAATCGTTCGAATTTCTACTTTAACCCAAAGGACTTGACCATCGTAGTCAGTCGATTCCAATGTTTTATGTCATTCATCAGTCTCAGTATTCGGTCGTCGTTGTCTGGCTTACTGTATTAAGTCAAGTCTTTATTCTTCCTTTTTCATTTACCTACTTTCGCCCTCAACATCTCAGAGTACTTGTGTCTTACACTTCGTCTGCACCTCGTACTTTGTTATATTCCTTACCTGGTACATCAAGTATTTGTGTTTTTCACTTCATCTGCGCCTCATACCTAGGTGTTATCCTTATTCTTTTCCTATAAAAACGGCCTTTTGACCCCTACAGCTGATCCGGAATGTCAGCCGAGCACGTTAACTGCTGTATGATCACACGTACGTGAATATCTAGTCAGCAAACTTAATATCTTCGTACCCACACTACTCTATGCTTACTTTCTTAGTAGGCTGTTTTGTGTTACGACAAACATTATAATATTTATACTACAACATTAAACTCTATAATGTTTAAATATGGTACCAAATCCATTTGCTAAATTTTGCAAAGAAATACTCACACTGGTTATCTCTACAAAATAAAAAAAGTAATAGTGAAAATATTCATTTTCTTAAAGATTAACTATAAAGAAAAATAAACGGTAGCATAAAATGTGGACGTGACATAATTAGGACAAATATAGATATCTGACAGTGATTAAAATCACTCTAAAAGAAACGTTTCGATGCAAATCTGCAGATAGTGTTTAATTTTAAGAAATTAGTGGATTACACTAAAAGCAAAATGAATCACTATATCTTTCTTTATTCCTGATAGCAAATGTGTATAAAAATTTTATTTTCAATGATATCAATTTTAACCTTGCAAGTTTAACTAAAAAAAAGGTTAAAAGTTCACCATTTTTAAATTATTACTTTCATAAAAATCAACTTTAAAGGACCAAAAAAATAGGTTAAACATGGCAATTTGAATGGAAATTTTGCACGGTTCATTTTTAACATATTAAAAATAAAAATTAATTTTTAATTGTAAATCGTTTTTATAAATTAGCAATAATGTCAAAAAAAAAAGAGGCGATGAAAATAATCTAATTCCAGTTATTCAATATAAATTAAATAAAAATCAAAAAAAATTTGAATTTCTTTTTCACCATAAAAAGAATTAAGAAAACAAAACGAATAAATATAGTTTAAAAACACGCTTTTAAAGCACATCGAACTAAAAAGGTAAAAATAATTTTTAAAATAACCTTAAAACAATAATGAACGAAAAATACTAGTATTATTGTGATAAAAGCGTGGGTGCTTTGTGCCATATTTTTCGTATATTAAACGCCCTGTTTTAACCTTATTTTAAAAATTATTTTTAACTTTTTAGTTCGATGTGCTTTAAAAGCGTGTTTTTTTAGTTTTTTTAAACTATATTTTTTACGTTTTAGTTTCATGTTATTATAGATGTTACTATCAATATCATGGTTGTAACGGGAAATCAGGGTTCGATTCCGGGAAGGGAGTCTGAGAAACGGCTCCCACATCCAAGGAAAGCAGCAGACGCGTAAATTACCCACTCCCGGAACATGGAGGTAGTGACGAAAAATGACGATACTGGATTCATCCTTTGTAATCGGAATGAATGAGTTCTATATTTTTAAATAAGAATAAAGTGTGTTAATATATATTTTTAATAGTAATTAGAATATATATATATACATGTAAAGCGACTTAAGTACGTAAACGTATCATGCATTAGGTACAGTCGTGTTTTGTGGGCGGGCGAGTCGGACTAACGTTATACCTTAGGTATAAACGGCGGTAGAAATATATACGTAAGCCGTGTGCACGCGGATGATAATGGTCAGTCAAAATAAAAATTTGTTTATATATATATATATATATAATATTGATGACACGCACGTGTGTACGGGTACGATAACCAAACATAAATTTATACAGGAATAGTATTGCCGGCGTGTGATGAGCGTGTCGCGGGGTGGGGTGAATGCGTTATGACAGTCTAGTGTAGACGACAGAATATGCGATAACGCGTGGCGTTTTGAGAGTTACAAACATACATACATACATACATACATACAGGTGAAACTAATATAAGCGTGTTAATAGCCATTTGACAAACGGGTGGAAATGTTGTACCCCGAGCGTGAGAAATTTAAGTGTGATTGACATAACAGTACATCATGCTTGTAGTCGGATAAAACGAACAATTAAGTTGGTTCGAAAACTCTATGTCGTTTCTTTTAAAGTAAGAGGCAGAATATTCAAAATAAATTTAAATTTATATTCGATTTAAGTTAAATTCATGTAACTTTTATAAAAATTGGTGGATTCAATACTACGGCAAACTCTTGTGAGACATTTTAATATAAAAAATATTACATTTTTGAATACAGTAGTAATTTTCATCTTGACGACAATCTAAAGTTCGAAATTTTTGTTTTCATATTAAAGTATATTACATATGCTTTAATTAAGAATGTATATAAGAGTGTCAGTAATTCCAGAACATTTCCAAAAATTCTAATTTCTATTAGTCTGTTTAAACTTTTAATCCCCTGTATAAATAAAAATGATCCGAATTAAAAAAGAAGCATTGATTAGAATCTAGTTGATTACAAAATTCGATAGAGTATACTCTGAAATTTTTTTTGATAAATCTTATCTTTAATTTGTTTTTTTTATAATTTAGTAGTTACAATAGGTAATTTATTTGTTTTTGTTAATTTGTTATTTGCGTGCTCTAAATAATAGTAATAAAAATATGACTAAAAAAAGGCAGGAATTGTTTTTAATTTTAAATAAAATAAATTTTACATTGTTTAGAATTTATATTTATTTTAAAAAATTTTATAACTTATTTGTTATTAGTATTTAGGTATAAATTATCATCAGTTATTATTATTATTTTATTAGCTTCGATGCGAAAATAATGGTAATGGTTTTACTATGATATGTTTTTAACACGCTTATATTAGTTTCACATGTATGTTGTTTGTTTGTATGTTGTAAGTTTGTAACTCCACGCGGCACGTGTTATTATGTCGCGTATCCCGTCGTGTATGACCTTGAGACTATACTGTTGTAACGCATTCGCCCCACCCCGCTCACCACTCGTAGAGAACAATATTTTCCAACCCGTAGACGCGCGCTTATCATCAATTATATATATATATATAACAAATTTTTATTGTAATTGACACAGCCCCGCGTCGTTTTACGCCGCGGTGCAAAGTCCAGCAAGTGCCGCACGGCCGACAACGTCCCGCCGTTAAGGATACCGTAGTCTTCTTCTCGTTGTCAAAGTGACGTCAACAAACCGATCCGTACTCGCGCACTGTTGTCATCTAGGCTGCTAACCTTTTGACGCCCGAGGATCACGACGGACATCGCGTCGTCGACGCCAGCAAAAGTGCCGCGATATTATGCGAAGATCATTATATTCCTACCGCCACCGCTAATATTAATATATATATATATATACATATATATATTAATATTTATACGTATATGTTAATATTCATTTATATATTCCTACAGCCGACGCCTCTGCCGCCGTATATGCCTCGTGTATAATGTTCCCTCCGCCATGCCCGCCCACATAAACACGGCTATACCTCATGCATGATACGTTTACGTACTTAAGTCCCTTTAAATATGTATATATTCTAATTACTATTAAAATTTATATATTAATACGCTTTATACTCATTAAGAGATATGTAGTATATTCATTCCGATTACGGGGGATGATTCCCGTATGTCATTTTTCGTCACTACCACCACGTTGCGCGCCTGCTACTTTCCTTGGATGTAGTAGCCGTTTCTTAGACTCCCTCTCCAGAATCGAACCCTGATTTCCCGTTACCCGTAACAACCATGATAGTGATATTAACTACTATCATAACATGGAACTAAAAAGTTAAAAATAATTTTTAAAATAATTATGAACAAAAAATACTAGTATTATTGTGATAAAAGCGTGGGTGCTTTGTGTCATATTTTTCGTATATTGAGCGCCCGACACTTTTATCACAATAATACTAGTATTTTTCGTACATTATTGTTTTAAGCTTATCATAAAAATTATTTTTAACTTTTTAGATCGATGTGCTTTAAAATCGTGTTTTTTAGTTTTTTTAAACTAATTTTTTTTATTTTTTTTTTGTGTCTGTTATCACTTTTTCTCAGTTTCACCGAACCGATTTCTTTCAATGATACGTCAAAAGATCACAAATCGAATCTAGTCGAAGATATTACCCTCAAAAATTAAAAAAATTCCCCTCGTTCCCCGTCAATAGGGAAACCCCCCAAAAAATTACAAATTTAAAAATCACTAATTTTTTCAATTTTTGTTTTACTTAAAATTGCCATAACTTTTTAATATAGATGCATGATATCATTACTTTTCATTTGATATATTTTTTTTATAAATCTTATCCTTTACCTGCCCACGAGGAGGATTTAAAATGACAACTTTTTCACTTAAATTTTTAAAATGTCCCGGAAAGTCTGACACTTATCTATATCTTAAATTAAAGCTAATGTAATATACTTTTTTATTTATAAAAATGTCGAACTTTATTTTTGTGTGAAAATTCTCGATTTTGTATTCTACATTTTTAACTTTATAATGCTATAACTTTTTGAAAAGTGTATGGATCAACACAATTTTTTTTATGAGAAATAATATTTTTTAATAATCCCTTTTTTATTCGACATATACTTTATCTTAATCAGGATATTAATAAGGAACTAGCAGATCATGTAGCTTTTGGAGTAATCAACCAATTTTTTAAAATTAAACACTATCTAAATATTTGCATCGAAGCGTTTTTTGTTTATTGTGATTTTAATCACTGTCAGATATCATTATACATGATCCAACTATAACACGGCACCACTGTGCATCGACCCCCCTGTACTGGGGTTTTTTGTACTTAAAACTGCCATAACTTATTGAAATGTTAACAAATCAAAATAGTATATTTTTATATTGAAACCTTAGGTATTTTTCTTTCATTTAATAGAATTTTTTTTAAATTTAATCCTTTAATCGTCCACAAGGGATTAAGTAAAATAGTATTAAAAATAGCAACTTTTTCACAATAGTCAATTTTTTCAACTTAAATTTTGAAAATGTTCTGGAAATAGTACGTTCTTTAAACACATGTCAAATTAAAGCTTATGTTACATACTATAAATTAAAAAAAAAAAATCTTGATCATGTAACTTTTGGAATTATCCACCAATTTTTTAAAAATAAACACAAATTTTGAACTTGTAGAATTCATAGAATGGGATACTGACTAAGGAGGAGTGGAGGGAGTCCCCCACAAGCTTTTCATGGGAAACAAAAAAGGAAAATGATACAAGGGCCCGAAATTGTTGGCCCCTCCAATAAACATTTTCTGGCTACGTGCCTGGTTGGATGAAAGGAATGTATAAAAAGTATTTATTAAAATACTTAATATCTACTGATTCATACATTTTTCAAAACATTATAGTAATATAAATTTAGAAATATAAGATCGAGAAATTTTTCACAAAAAACGTACGTTTTTCTTTAACTTTGAAGTCTGTTTTCACCACGAATACAAGTGCAGGTGTCAAATTTTTTTCAAAATAAAGTTCATTACATTAGCTTTAATTTATAACATATATAAAAGTGTCAGTATTTCTGAAACATATTCAAAAATTAAGTTGAAAATGTTAATTTTTTGTGGAAAAGTTACCATTTTGAAATTGTTATTTTTTTGAGGATTTCCTCCATTTACGTGGAACGAGGGAAATTTTTTCAATTTCTGAGGATAATGTTCCTCGACTATTTACTATTTGTGATCTTTTAACATATTTTTCATTAAAAGCGGTCCAATGAGAGCTGAGTATAAGTGAAACAAAAAAAAATTATTTAAAAAAAAAACATTATTTAACTTAAATAATAAATAAATAATTTTTCGATGCAAAGCTGAGAAGGTTCAGCTTTGCATCGAAGCTAAAACCAACAATCAATAAATTAGAGTTATTTTAGTTTTGCACAGTGCTCTTCAATTTATTTAAAAATAAAATAATTTTTCAAAATATATAAATTCTTAATAGTTATGAAAAAAATTGGTGATCATTTCTATAAATAAAGCTTATAGTTAAACAATTTTAATTTTAATTTTCTTAACTATTTTATTATATGATATAATTTTTCAAAAATAAATTTTATTTTATTTCAGGATTTAATTTGTGTCTCGTATTGTTCATATTGTAATTTATTATGGGAAGGATGGAATATAAATGAATGTAAAAATCTTCCTAGTCATACTGGTAAAAGCTATAATTTTGATGGTATTTATATTGAACATGAATTTATAGACTTAAAAGAGGAAGCTAACTTGATTGAAAATTTAGATCAAATACCTTGGGATGTATCTCAAAGTGGTCGTAGAAAACAAGTAAGCATATTTTTTAGTTTTATAATATTTAATTGTTTATAATTACCTACCAACAAATAATAATAATAATTAAATATAATAATGTTATAAATATATAAAGTTGATTTTATATTAAATGATTACAGAACTTTGGTCCAAAATGCAATTTTAAAAAAAGACGTTTGTCAATAGGAAATTTTAATGGATTTCCACTATGTACTAAATTTGTACAAGATCGCTTTAAACAACTTTCTATAATGAAAGATTATCATACTATTGAGCAATGTTCATTAGAGTATAATCCTAAAAAAGGTGCTTCAATTGATCCACATGTTGATGATTGTTGGATTTGGGGTGAAAGAATTGTTACTCTAAATCTATTGACTGACTCTGTTTTAACTTTAACTCCACACAATATCAAATACAAAAACCAGTATAATATTGAATATATACCAAATTCACAATGTACTTTATTATCGGGCAGTAAAAAAAAATATCCATTTGATGTTATACGCATTCCTATGCCTAGAAGGTCACTTTTAGTGTTGTATGGAAATACTCGATATTTATGGGAACACTGTGTTCTTAGAGAAGATATTCAAGATAGAAGAATTTGTGTTGCATACAGAGAATTTACACCACCTTATTTAAAAGGAGGATTATATTTTAAAGATAGTTGTGATATTATTGAGAGAGCTAAAATATTTTGGTGAATACATATTTTTGTTATCTCTTATTATTGATAAATACTTTTATTTGTATTTTTAAAAACTAAATATAAAAGAAAAATTAGAGCTCTTTTTAATTAGATTTTGTAATTCAATGCATAATTTAAGGCGATTATGTGCAACAGTGACTTAATCCATATTTTTATTTTTTAATTCTACTGTCTATAGAAGGTCATTATGGCTTCCACACAAGGAAAAATTTTTAAAAGTTTATATTAGTAAAACTCTTTTATACTTTGATAAAAGGAGAAATGCTGCTAAAAATAACTAGTTGTAAAAATGACTAAATAATTTTGAAATTGTCAGTATTTACCTAATATTTAAACTTTAAAAATCAAAATTTTACCGTTACGAGATACCAGAAAGTTTTAAAAAATCTTTAATAATAATTTTTCAACTATGTATAATTTGTGATCTTTTAATGTGATATTGTCAAAAATCAGTTTGTAAGAAGTGAGAAAAAGAGACAACAGACAAAAAAAAAATTGAACACATTTTAGTAAAATCTATCTAGTAAAGATAATGCAATTCTGAAGTTTTAAAAATTTTTGTTCGAGTGAATTGATATCATAAGTAGAGCTTACAATTATATGTATTTATCTATTTTGTTTAAACCTCTTTGAAGGATCCCAAATTTGTTAAACTTTACCAATGGTTTATATAGAAACAAAAATATATCTTTTATTCTAGGGGGCAAAACCTTATAATTCCTACATAAACTATTACTTTAGCAAAGTATATTTTGGTTTCTGATGAAAATTTCTTGTAGACCAATAAATTTATTTCTAATTAACAAACAATTTTTTTTTTAACTATTGTATCAAGCTCTTCGACTTTTATATACGTTTGCCATAAAAATTATAACTACTTTATAATTTTTTATGAACACAGCGCTCGGTGGTATTTACGCGGGTTTGTTAACGTTCATAGTTTTATTTTGTCCTAAGTCTTTGGTTATGTCAAGGATAAGGAATAAGGTGAATGGACTGTATTTTTGAATGTAGAATGAATTTTACAATATATAATTATAACAATTAAATATATCATACAAGAATTATAAAATCTTATATACACCAATGTGGATAGGGGGACACTAAATAATAATACCACAAAGGGATAAACAAATAATAAACTATACAAGCGAGTAAGTCTTAGAAAGATAGATGAACTAGCATTATACTTATTCTGCCGTGCTAAGCAAAAACAGGATAACTCCAAAATTAAAAAAACAATTTTTTTTAATATTAATATACTGTGAACGGTACTGTGATGTTCTCAGAAAATATATAGACACAACGGCGATAAACTGAGCACACAGGTGCGACAATTGCAAAGGTGAAATTTTACTTTTACAATATAACGACTACAAAAACTAGTGGCTTGCAAGCGCCATAGAGCTTATAGTTGAAGAAGCGCTAAGATGGCGGCGACAATTCGACATAGAGAGAAGATCGACAACAACTCGATGTAACACAACGATAACATGAATAATCACAACACAATTTCTTGACAGCATATTCGACCGATGTGTATCCAACAAATTTTTTTATAAGTTCTTCGTAAAAATTACTAATGTAATAAATATTAATTACATATTATATTTTATCGCTATAATCAGTGGCGGCTCGTGGCTTGGACGATCGCACCTCCTACTAAAATAAATTGTATACTCTTAATTCTACATTTTTATTAAAAATCCAAATTTTTAAATAGTAAAATATAGTTAGAATACATTTGTTGTGAGCGAACATTAAAGTTGTTTTCCTCAGTATACGCGGGACGCATGCACACACGACAAGTGTTTAGACGACGAACAGCATCGTCCAAACAATATTTTGATACGTATATTATTAACGAGGAGACCAATCGTGTGCGTACGGGTATTGTTAAGCTGCAATCTTATGTACGGGTTTTTTGGCAGCGTCGTCTATATAGTAAAATATTAGTTTATTACTATGTAATTAATTTATTTTTAGAATTAATACGTGTACGCTCGTTATTGGTTGCTTTAATAGTATAATCGCTATTATTATTATTTTCATTTATATTTTCTACTGCGACCTTTAAAATAATAATATGTGTATTGTGTTTTATTTTATTATATTTAATTTGACAATCTTTTATACCTATAACTAGCGGTATTATATTTTAAATTGCACCTCCACCACTAGCACCTACGAGGCACAAACTGACTATAATATTTATTCATATATTACACTTATAAATCATAAAACTTGTAATCAAGATATAAATTGAAAATAAGAATTAATTTGGCTTTTGGAATAATCCATTAATTTTGTAATATTAAACACTATTTAAAGGTTTGCATCAAAGCGTTTCTTATGATAGTGATTTTAATCACTGTCAAATATCATCTATGCCTTGTCTACACTGTGCCTCGACCCCACTGTGTTACCGTTTTTTAGCTTTGATGGGAAGCTGAGAAGGTATTAATTTTATTTTTTTTTTTTGTGTTTGTATATGCTCAATCTCAGCTCTCACTGAACCGATTTTGATGAAAAATATGTCAAAAGATCACAAATCGTATCTAGTTGAAGACATTACTCTCAAAAATTGAAAAAATTTCCCTCGTTCCCCGTCAATAGGGGAAACCCCCCAAAAAATTACAAATTTAAAAATCGCTAATTTTCGATATTTTTTCAATTTTTTTTTTATAGATACCTTAGATATTTACCTATAATTTTATATATTTTTGTGAATATTTGACCCTTTAACAGCCCACAGGATGGGTTTCAAAATGGTAACTTTTTTACAAAAAATTAACTTTTTCAACTTAACTTTTGAAAATGTTCCGGAAGGTCTGATACTTTTATATATATCTTAAATTAAAGCTTATGTAATGTACTTTCTTATGCAAAAAAAAAATTTCGGATTTTATTTTATCTTCACGGTGAAAATGGCTACCGAATGCTATTTTTGTGTGAAAATTTTCGATTTTGTATTTTACATTTTTAACTTTATTATGCTATAACTTTTTGAAAAATGTATGGATCAGTACAATTTTTTTATGAAGAGTAGTGTTCATATACATCTTTCATTTGACATACTGTTTTTTTAAATCGGACCATTTCCCTATATACGAGGGGGGTTCAAATCTAAAAAATGCATGTAAAAAGTAGAACTTTTTCAACCTAAATTTTGAAAGTGTTCCGGAAGGTCTGACACTTTTAAATATATCTTAAATTAAAGCTAATGTAATATACTTTATAATGGAAAAAAAAAATTTCGGACTTTATTTTATCTTCACGGTGAAAATGGCCACCGAATGCTATTATTGTGTGAAAATTCTCGATTTTATTTTTTACATTTTTAACTTTATAATGCTATGACATATTGAAAAGTGTATGGATCAACATTATTTTTTTATGAGAAATAATATTTTTTAATAATCCCTTTTTCATTCTACATACTTTATCTTAATTAGGATATTAATAATGAACTAGCAGATCATGTAGCTTTTGGAATAGTCCACCAATTTTTTAAAATTAAACAGTATCTAAAGATTTGCATCGAAGCGTTTTTTTTTTATAGTGATTTTAATCACTGTCAGATATCATTATACTTGATCCATCTATGCCACGTCACTACTGTGCCGCGACCCCCCTGTGCTGGGTTTTTTAACTTTATAATGCTATAACTTATTGAAAAGTATATGGATCCACACAATTTTTTTCTGAGAAATAATATTTTTTAATAAACCCTTTTTCGTTCAACATACTTTATCTTAATCGAGATATTAATAAGGAACCAGCAGATCATGTAGCTTTTGGAATAAAACAACAATTTTTTTAAAATTTAACACTATCTAAAGATTTGCATCGAAGCGTTTTTTTTTATAGTGATTTTAATCACTGTCAGATATCATTATACTTGATCCAACTATACCACGACAACACTGTGTCGCGACCCCCCTGTGCTGGGTTTTTTCAAATGAATTAACAATTGATTTTTTCAAATATAATCAAATTTTATAATACGCTCAATTGAGTAAATCTTTTTAACAACATTGTTTTGATTGGTACATTTAGTTAAAGTAAATCATTAAAATTAATTAAGTTCTCAATATTTCAATTGTAGAATCTTTTCTACAAACAACAAAAGTTCCTAGGAAATTATTACTATTACTTCTATTTAAGTTATCTATTACTATAAAAATGCAAAAAAATATTGAGCTTTTCTGATAAATTTACAATAAATAGTAATTATAAAACTTTCTGACTGCATATTGATCTTAACGATACAATTTTTTTAATTGTCATAAAATTTTCTATTTAATTATGTCAATGTCAAACTTACCAATTGAGCTAAAAGTTATGGTAAAATAAATTTTTTTTTTTATTATAAACATTTACAACAATCAACTTTAAACGATTAAAAAAATAGGTTAAATATGTCATTTTTCTTATTTTTAACTTATTAATAATCAAAATCAGTATTAATTTAAAACAATTTTTTTTTTCTTTTAATTTTTTTTTATATGTAATTGTATTACATTTATGTAATTTATATGTACATTATATGTAAGTTCCTTGTAGTCCAGTTTATAAAACTTATAACTTTGTTAACTGTTATAACTTTATCAAAAATGACCAAATCAGTATATATTTTTTTTCATTTAGATGCATGTCTTTATCTATCATTTGGTTTTTTTTATAAATCTAACCCTTTACCTGCCCACAAGAGGGATTCAAAATATTAACTTTTTTTTTTTTAGTTAAAGTAAATCATTAAAATTAATTCAGTTCTGGATATTTCAATAGTAGAATCTTTTTAAATATCAAAAATTACTTAGAAATGATTACTATGATTTCTATTTAAGTGTTCTATTACGATAAAAATGCAAAAAATAATGAGTTTTTCTGATAAATATACTGTAAATAGTAATTATAAAATTTCCTGACTGCATATTAATCTTAAAAATAACATTGTTTTAATTCTCATAAAATGTTCTATTTAATGATGCATTCTAGTCAACGAAGGAGTAATTTTGGAGAATAGCAGAAAAAATTCCCAACCAATTTTTTTTTTTTTAAGTAGGAAATTGGTGGATTATTCGAAAAGCAACATCAACTCTTATTTCTTTAATTATATCCTGATTAGTAGTTCTTTGATTTTAAAATATAATATATGAATATATACTAATTATAATTATTAAATTTAGTATGAAATTGATATTTAATATTGTAATTTAAACGGAGAAATTATAAAAATAATAAAGAAGTTATATTTTGCTTTACTTTTACGTGTATAAAAATTTAAAGGGCTTGATACAATAATTTTCAATAAAAACTGTTTGTTACTATAAAAAAATGCACTGGACTACAAGGAACTTTCATCAGAAGCAAAAATATACTTTTCTAAATCAAATTTTCGCGTTGTTTTCAAATCTGCAAGTAGACTATTTCTATCACTTCTAATTTTTTATATTATTACTAATTATATATATAAAATAATAATTAAAAGAAAAAAAAAATTGTTTTCAAATTATTACTGATTTGATTTTTAATATGTTAAAAATAATCAGTCCAAATTTTCAATTTTAACCAATATTTTTGGTTCTTTAAAGTTGATGAAAAATTTTTGATAAAGATTTATGAAAGTTTATAGTAAAATAAATTGAATATATTACCATAACTTTTAGCTCAATTACAAGTTTAAAATTGACATCTAAGCCAGTCAACAAAGGAAAAATTGCGGAAAAAATTCCCAACCAAATTTTGTTTTTTTTAAAGTTGAATTAAAATATGTATAATGACATACTTATAGTCCTCATTGTTTGGAATGGGGTTTTTTTTTACAGCTTCGCAAAAGTTCAAAAATATGAGCTTTTTTAATTTTCTCAAAAAATATTTAACTTACAAAAAAAAGTTTCGTACAAAAGTTGTTTAAAAGACAATTATAAATAAAAATATAATCTTATATTTTTTCATTTAAACAAATATTTTTCGAGTTACATTACATTTAATATGAGTAATAAAATTTATATTCCATTTTTTTCATTTTACGGTTACTTTTTATCATGTTATACTTACATTAGACACTATGTTATAAATGCATATGTGTGTATGTGTGAGTTTATTTATTTATTGTATCATAAAAGTGTATTAATATACATCCGATAGAGTAGGTAATTGATTTGACTCTATATTGTTTAAACCCAACTAAACGCTAAATTGTACATTCCCAAACAACAATCATATTATGTCATTTGCCACCGAAATCTCTGGTAATCTTCTTATTTTTCTTTGCCTTAATCCCAACAACTTGGGGTCGGCCACCCTTATCTTAAGATTCCACTTGACACGATCTCCCACATCTTCTACGCTCGCATCAGCTGTCTTCAAATCGCATTCAATAGCATTCCTCCATCTCTTTTTTGGTCTTCTTCTATCTCTTCTTCCTTCAACATTTATTTTNTATCTCTTCTTCCTTCAACATTCATTTCTATAATTGTTCTTACAGCTTCCGATTCTTCTCTCCTCATAACATGACTAAACAATCTAAGTCTATTTTCTGTCATCTTATCCACTATTAACGAAACACCTATACTTCCTCTTATATGCTCGTTCCTTACCCTATCTTCTCTAGTCACTCCACTCATTCAACTAAGCATTCTCATCCCTGCTACACTTATTCTCTGCTCTACTTTCTTATCAACCGCCCAACACTATGAACCATACATCATAGCTGGCCTCACAATTTCATACTGAATTTAAAAACTATAATTATTAATTATTCATATATTATAATTATAAATCGGGATAAAATTAAGGGAATAAGAGTTATGGTTACTTTTGAAATAATCTATCAATCTTTTAAAATTAATCACTATCTACAGATTTGCATCGAAGCGTTTCTTATGATAGTGATTTTAATCACTGTTAGATATCATCTATACTTGTCCCATCTATGCCTCGTCCACACTGTGCCTCGACCCCACTGTGCTACCGTTTTTTTTTAATAATATTAAAACTTAGAAGTGACAGAAAAAGTCCAATTGCACATTTGAAAACATTACCTGCCCACAAGAGGGATTCAAAATGATAACTTTTTTAGTTAAAGAAAATTATTAAAATTAATTCAGTTCTGGATATTTCAATTGTAGAATGTTTTTAAATACCAAAAATTACTTAGAAATGATTACTATGATTTCTATTTATATGTTCTATTACAATAAAAATGCAAAAAAATAATGAGTTTTTCTGATAAATATACAGTAAATAGTAATTATAAAATTTCCTGACTGCATATTAATCTTAAAAATAACATTTTAGTAACTTTTGGTGTTTGAAAAGATTCTGCAATTGAAATATTCAGAACTTAATTAATTTTAATGATTTACTTTAACTATAAAATATGATTGGTTTCAAATACAAAATTAAATCAATTTAACTTTGTAATATAATAATTTTTTTACTCTATTTGTGTGTGCTACTACTAGACTATAATATTCCAAATTTGTTGGTAACATGTTGCTATATAAACATTTCTAAAAAAAATGATTGTTAGTTTCTCCTGAATTAACAATGGATTTTTACAACTATAATCAAATTTTATAATAAGCTCAAATGAGTAAATCTTTTTAAGAACTTTGTTTTGATAGGTTCATTTAGTTAAAGTAAATCATTAAAATTAATTAAGTTCTGAATAATTACACTGTAGAATCTTTTTAAACACCAAAAGTTATTTTAAATAGTATTTATAAAATTTCCTAACTGCATATTAATCTTAACGATACAATTTTTTTAATTCTCATAAATTTTTTTATTTAATGATGTCAATTTCAAACTTGCAAATTGAACTAAAGCTATGGTAATAAATTAATTTTTTTTTACTACAAACTTTCACAAAAATCAACTTTAAAGAATTAAAAAAATAGGTTAAATATGTCATTTTCCTTATATTTAACATATTAATAATTAAAATCAGTATTAATTTAAAACAATTTATTTTTGTTCATTAATTACCTTTTTTTTATATGCAAATACTTATTTTTTAATTATAAGTAATAATATTAAAACTTAGAAGTAATAGAAAATGTTTAATTGCACATTTGAAAACATCGTAAAAAGTTGACTTAGAAAAGTATATTTTTGTTTCTGATGAATGTTCCTTGTAGTCTAGTGTGTTTATTCATAAGTAATAAATTTTTTTTTTAAAAAGTATTGCATTAATTCCTTTAAATTTTTAGACGCGTTAAAAGTTGTTTGCAAAAATTGTTGCACACACTGCTCAATTATATCTGAATGCAATTAAAATTATTACCAATGAATCTCATTTCAATAATATAATGTATCTTATAATAAATATTCAGAACAAATTTAATAAGAAGTCTTGTACATTAAATATTAATAAAAAATGTTTTTTCATTCAAAATTTTCAATTATGAATATTTAGTGATGTACATCACGTATTGAAATCGATCGATCCTACAGTTTGCTTCAAAAATTTATCCTCTTAAATATTATTAGAAATGTTTTTTTTAAGATTAACTTTAAACAAAAAAAAAATAGTTAATATTGACTTTGGATTGTTGTGAAGATGGAAAATAACTTATTCTTCTGTTAATGAACTATTTGATTAACAATATTATCAGGGCCAGATTAAGAACGGGGTGTAACCATGAAAAAAAATGAAAAGTGAATTAAAGAACCAGAAATACTCTAATTATGACTAGTCTAGTATAATTCGAGATGGGCCCCTGGGTGTTTGACCCCTTTTAATCCAGCCTTGAATATAATGTTTAAAAATATGGATTAATACAACATCTAAATAGTGTAATGTTAAAAATTTAATTAATAGTTCAGAAAAAATTTAATTCATTTATTTTTTATGAAATTTATTTTTTTTATAGACTCAAAATGTCAGTTTTATTACTACTTGAGTCAGAAGAGTAAGTATGATGGAAAATGGTCCAAGACTTGATTTTTATCAACTATTGTTCATAACTATAAAAATTCTAGTTGTGAAAAATTGAATGGTAAATTTAATTTAAATTAATTATTTAACTTTTACATCAGGTTATTATAGAAAAATATTGACATATTGACATATTTCATGCAAGTATAATTAAAATTTTTAACATAAATTATTTTTGTAGGTATTTGTAAAGATAGCACTTTTTTAAAATACCATTAAAAAAAAATTGCTAAGAATTAAGACATGTCGTTAAGTTATAATTTATTAATATACATAGATATCATTTTCCATAAACAAAATAAGTCATAAATCCAAATAAAGATGAGATGCAAGGAATATAAGGTCTTAAATTTTCAACTTAAAATTTTCGTTTTCTATTTATTACAAAATAAAAAGTATTAAAAAATGAACTATATACTATTTGAGTTTTTTCTATTGTACAATTTTCTTTTATAATTTTATTTTTATGTACAACTAATCATTTTAGTTTGATTATAACCATAGTTGAACTCTACATTTACATCACTCATATTCCTTGCATGAAAGTTATACATTATGAATTAATTTTAATACTAGAATACATTATTATTATTATAAAAATATATTGATAAATAAACCTATGAAATCTGTAATAAAAAATTATTGTATTAAAAAAATTGAAGAAATAAACTTAACAATACATAATATGTATTAATAATATATTATATTGCCATAATTATAAATTTTATAAGCCTGCAAATAAAATTATAAAGTTTATATAATCTATTGTGGTTCACTCTGTAAAAAACTTGTAAAGCTCAGCATAATTTATTTGAATCCTATTAACCTACAGAGTGATCAGTTTATCATAACCACTCGATTATTCACAAAATAAATATAGTAACGGGGAAATTTTTTTTGATTTTTTAGTATATTTACTAATATTTTTCTTTAATTATTATTTATAAATTAAATTTTAGAATCATCCCTAAAAACTAATAAATGTGTCAACTTTATTTTTTATAATCGCAAAATACATATTTAACTAACTTATAAATTAGAAAATAATCTAATTAAGAAAATGCCAGGTCGATAACAACATTTGGAACAGTATTTCAGAGGTTATTAATAATTTAAATTTATGACTGGAGGTAAGGAGTGAGTGCTGCTATTTTTATCAATAATCATTTTCTGATGATGATTTTAAACAGTAATTTATAGCTAATAAATCAAGAAATATATGTAACTAAAAATATCCAAAATTTTATTTCCTATTACTATATTTGTTTTGCAAGTAATTCAGAGTTTATGATAAACTGATCACTCTGTATAATCATTTTCCAAATGTACTATTTATACTATACGGCCAATTTTAATGATTATTTAAATTTTTAATTAACTTTATTAATATTTTGCAGTTTAAAGAAAGAAATATTGTACCAAATAATTTCTATTGAGAGATAAAAAATCAATACTAGTTTTTATACTAATTTATCAAAAATATATTTGAAGTTTTTATTTTAACTTTTTATGCAGACATAGAATTTCTATGTTCATATTTAATTATAGTTTAGTATTAAATTGAAATTTCTTTAATTGCTAATTGCTTTCCTATTCGTACTATTTATATTTTTGTGAGAATCCAATTATTTTGCAAATTTTGTATATTACAACGAAAATATGCTTTTAACAAATAATTAATATAAGGTAGGTGCTAAGCTTATAATAGGCCTAGATAAATCTTATTTATATATATAGCTTAATAGAATCAAGGCCTTATTATCTACATCTATATTAATTCAAATTAAGGTATCCATTATTTATTAAATAAAATTATATTACTTATATAATTATATAATTATATTACTATGATTATATTATTATGAATATAATAGTATTTATAAGAAGGCAATCTAGCCAATTTCTTAGGCTGTCCCAAAATTTATCGCATAAACCAAACCTAACCTTCAAAATGTTTTAAATTATTTTTATATGAATTATACCTAGCCATAATTTTTATATCTCATTAGAAGTTTTCATTTATCATAAAAAATTTAAGTAATTTTAATTCTTACATAAAATATTTTAAAAAAAATTATTCATTTATATGGATGTAATATTAAATTAAATAGTTATTTTTGATGGTCAAATCAATAATACTATTTTCATAGCACTTACATACAGAAAAGAATATTTAGTGACAAATCTTTAATTGTTATCTTGGTTTCATAGCTTAAATAGCAAACAAATTAACAATATATTTGATAAAAGTTATAAAAGTATTTTATAAGGTAACTAATAACTTATATTAAAATAAAAATGTATTAACATTAAAAAATGTATATAATGTAATCATACTTATGCTCTATGACAAATAACAAATACATACTTATATCTTTTCTCAAATACATTCCTCAAAAAGCATTGTAACTACGTTTTACTGATTTAGATAGTGAACAAGAAAGCATAATACCAGTTATCTATAAATTAATTTACACTATACTACTATTTATTTAAATAAAATTTTTAGTAATGTGATAAACTTAAATTTAAAATAGTTTGCATTATCTTTTAAAGCCGGAATGAATAGTTTGGTTTACTCCCACTTCCTAAAATATATATTAGTATAAAATGAAAGATCGCTCAGACAAATGTTAAATTTTACTCTAAGTCCCCTTTAATATAGAGTGCTTGTAAATACTTTATATACCTAGTATAATGAGCAAAATTACATGTATTTCTATTTATTCCTTTCTCAAAAGACATAACATTCATCCGGGATATACGAATAATTCTGATTTGGGTAACATTTTTTACTCAAGTTAAGTTATTGTTTTAAACTGTTTAAAACAATAATTAATTATGATTTACAATAAAAATGTAAATTAACAGGCAATATTGGTAAATAGTTAGAATTTTCTATTGAAAGACTTTTACTCAAAATAATTTAGGTAACTTTGAATTTTACTCTTGCCCTTGATAGTCAATAATTACATTTATATTTTGTTATAAACATTTTTTTTTTTTATTAGTTATAAAATATATTAAATAGACATAATAGTAATACCTGTAAAAGAGCTATTCCCATCGCTACACACCCAAGAGTACTAGCATTTTCTTTTACAATTTTTGTTAGAGATTCATAACAAGGTTGTTTATATAAAGTATCTGAATCTTTAGTACAAGATTGTTGACCAATAGCTCCTTCAACTGGTCCACAACATGACATGGGTAATTTATTATTCAGTATTACATACCAATCATTTACATTTTCTGCTCCACAACATTGAAGCTTAAACAAAATAATTCAAGAAATTTAAATCAATTTTAAGTAATGGAAATTTTATTCTTGTAATAAAAATGTGAATAAAATTTAAGACAAGAGCTTTAAAATGGTATTAGTTGCAATTTTCGGCGGACTCAAATTAAATTTCAAAAAAATGTATTACTATTTTTTGAAGCTATGTTTTCTATATAAATGATAATGTGACATACTTTTGACCTGATCTTTTATATAATTCTAAAGTACTTAACATTAACTGAAAAATAACAAAATTAAGTAATCTTAAGTTTATATTTTCAATGTATAAATTAATAATTACGTTAATTGTGTTTTTTTAATTTCATACAAAGGAAAGTTACAGAGGCGTAATGAAGACATTTTTTATAGAGACACCTAGTCCATTTAACCAACTGGCTGACTATTATATTTAAAAAAAAGATTGTTTAGCCTACCGAGATAACTTTAGAGAATAAGTTACCCCCTTTGTCACCTTTAGTTACACTTTTGGAAAGTTGCAACAACTGGCCACCTTTTCCTCTTATAATGGATTTTAACATAGTTCAATTACTGTTGTTTGTAGTCCATCCCAAATATGAGTTATTTGATTTGTTTTATTGTAAAGTAACATGGTATCATGAAGATTGTTAGTAACAACAGAATAAGCTTTTTCTGATAAAATAAATCCAGCTAAACCTCCAGTAAGTTCCATTAGAAAACATGTCCCTAATAGAATTCCAAACTGTAAATAAACAAATAAATTATAAAAATCTATAATACATATAAATCTTAAAATAAATGACAAATTTCTATCTAAATACAAATGATTAACTTTTTTTTTAGTTAAATGAATTGATTTCCTTTAAAGTGACTCATAAAAGAGATTTAGAAGCGTGACAACCTCAAAATTTGGTTTTTGGTAGAATTTTGAGGGAGGCCAATCTATAACTGATACTATAAACAACTGTAAACTAGATTTCTTGTTAGGAGGATACATGTCAGAAAAATTTTCAACTATCTCAACTTGGGAATTTGTTTTTTTCATTGCATAATTTCGAATATAAATAATAAGATTAAAGTTGTGATCAATGAAAGGGCAATGGTCCTCTTTGGATATTCAGGATTGAGAGCATTAAGTCCACTAGTTATACCAGTGTCTTAAGACATTGAATCACATAATTGTTTATTACATATCCACTTTATCCATCAACGTAAATATAACACCTTTTTAGAACGGCTATAATTCAATATTTTTAATACTATTAATTTATCTAACAAAAAATATGTGGATTGCCATAAGTAAAGAAAGAGTTGGTGACTGTGTAAGTTGTGTAAAGAGTTATAAAGGCTATTTATTTATCTAAAGACTAGACATTTTTTTTATTTGAGATCATTATTAAATTTTTGCCCCTGGGACTCAAAACGTTTTAATTCGTGCTTGTCTATTGCATATTACTAATTTAGTTATCATAGATATTATTTTTTCTGTATTACTTACAGTATGCATCATACAATTGTTTTCTTTCAATGTACCGCAACAACCAAAAAAAGATACTGATAAAACTATAAGGCCAACAATAATCAGTAGGTAAGGTGCAGTAAAATAATTTTCATTGAGAAATAATTCATACTGAATATAAACATTTCGTATAGATAGTCCAACTGATAATAATAAAATTCCACTTAACTGAAAATAAGCATAAGTAATAAAGTTCCTTAAATCATTTTATTTTAAATGATTGTGCGAGTAGTTACAGAAATAGATTAGCAATTATAAATAAAACAAATTATTAAAAAAAAATTCTTTGAGTGATTTTATGAAAGATTTTCTTGTTAAGAGTGAAATGGCTACATACAAAAAGGGTTTTTTTTATACTAAAACAAATCAAATTTTTTTTCCTATTACTGTATATATTTTGTAAGTAAACGAGTGGTTTATGATAAATCAATCACGCTATATAATATGACTTTAATTAAAAAAACTTTTAATTCTATAATTAATCACAATTACTACTTTTGTTTTTTTAATTTTCCTATACAAAAAATATTATGATATGATGCTATCCATATAATTTATTTTATTAATGTTATGTGTATACATAAATGTATACGGGTGATTTTTTTAACACTAGCCAGTCAATATCTCTTATAATATTAAGTTGTTTGAATACGTTTTTTTTATTTTTGTTAGTTACATATGTATTTCCATTTATCTATAAAATAATTTTTAGGTCTATCCCTTATATCTTATAGAAGTGTAATCTTTATTTTATTAAATGACAACATACATATGAAACTAGCTTATTAAATAGAAAATGATCTAATTAAGAAAATGGCTAGTCATAACAACTTTTGTACTAGTACTTCAGAAGTTATTCTTAACTTTATACATAGGTGGGAGGAAGAGTACAACTATGAAATGACTAGTGACAAAATTAGCAACTCTTACTCCTCACATCCAATCATTACTTTATATTGTTATTAACTTCAGAAATACTGGTCAAAAAGTCGTTTCATCCAGTCATGTTCTTAATTAGATCATTTTCTATTTTATAAGCTAGTTAAATATGTATGTTGCCATTAAAAAAATAATTATATAAAATTTTGCTGTAATAAATAAATGGAAAAACATACTATGTAACTTACAAATATCAAAAATAAAAAAATTATCGAACACATTTTAATTAAATAATGAACACTGATGATTATGTTTTTTATACTTGGTATTTAAATGTAAATACATACATTATGAAGATAAAATTATATATGTTTATATGGACTTATTATTTTAAGAGAAATTGAGTGGCTACTCATAAAGAAATCACTCTGTATATAATACACATCATAAATATGTATGAAGCAAGTTGTATTTTTATTCATTTAAAAACAACAAGGTAGCCAATACTATTTCTAATGCTTAATAGCCCACATCGTAATTTGTAATAGTATCAAAATAATTTACATCCAAAAGATAAAAACAAAATATATTTATAGCACTGAATACCAACGTTTTTATAATGAAAATAATCATAATTAAATTAAAATTAATTAATATTAGTACTAAAATGCTAAGCAAAATATTTATAATCGTTTGTTTTACGTATAAATATTTTTGTTCAATATTCTATACAAATTACTTATAATTATTGATAACCAATTAACATGAAAATAAAAATGCATAAGAATTCTAACTAACAGCTAATTGGCCAAATTTTTGTTTACGTATGAGTGCTCTTTAAACAATTAAATTATTAACCTGTACAACTTTATATAATTTCATCCAAAACAACTTATATAATATAATTATTTACTCGGTATAATTGTGGAACAGTTGTACTAATTTTACAACGAAGGTATGATTTAAACTTATTTGTAATATATAACTATAACTAATTAGTCATTAAGTATTGTCGTGTAATACTCGATAAATATACAATGGTTTTTTAAAATAATTACGCAGGAATACCTTCTGCACTATTCATTTTTTTAGTAAATTATTTTTTTATAAATATCAATGTAGTCTTAAAATGTAATAATTAAAAAAAAAACAATGTATATCTTTTAAAACTAACTATAAAATTAGAAAAATTATGCTCCTACAGATTTTATCTAACAATTTGAATCCCTATTATTATTATAAAATTAATCGAGTATATTTCATTGTGGCTTCCCTAATTGGAGAATTTTTCAATAGAAATTCGACTTGGGGAGAAGTTTTAATTCCCTTACTACCCCCTTTTTTTTTTTCCACGACAGGCATTATTGTGGGCCGCCCTGGAACTGCCGTGTGGCATTACTTCAGGGTGGCCCTCCCTTACTACCCCTCTAACAACTAAATTAAGACAATATGGAGAAGAAATACATTTTCTTTTAAAATACCCTAATTTTTATATAATTATTTAACAAAGTCATAATTTTAAATTTCAACTTTTATTGCTAATTAACAATCACTATCTACTTCTTACTTTTATATTTCGATCTCCCCGTTATTTCTTTAACAACTTAGGTAAATAATAATTCATATGACAAAAGCTGTAACTTATTGAGGAGGATAATAATAGATATAAAAACACTTATTAATGTGGCTTATTCGTTTTTTTTATCCATGTACACATTATTCAATCGCTGCATAAAGTTTCTATTTTAGAATTATATCTAAAAATTAGGACCACAATTTATTTTATTTTAAATTTGTGCCAAAAAAAAAAACGTCATCAACATCTTTCAGGAAAGTGAGTCATGTTTTTTATCACCTGGAAATATTACCTTTTTCATAATATTGGTATTTACGATATAATTGTGTTTTAGTAATAATTTAATTAAGTTTACTTAATTATAATATAACTTAATTTAATAAATTATTTAATTATTACTAGGAGTTAAAATCAGCTTAAATCAATTAAAGCCATGCTTCAAGAACCCTTCACAATTAAATATACTCATTCATATAAACAATGAGTACGTATATATTGTTATAATAATATATTTATAAAAAAAGGGAGAAAATTAGATTAACTTCCTAAAAAACTTGATAATTTGGACATAAGGTTAAAATATGGTAACTAAAAACGGAAAATTTCTCAACTGTTCATTTCACAATTGTACCCAGAGAATAAAGCAAAACAACTTTAGTAATTGCCTAAAAAATCTATTCACAATTAAGATCAATGTCATAATCGTCCTGACATAATTTTGGTACAATTTTATAATACAAAATTATTCAATTACTACGCATGAAAAATATTAAAAACGAAAATGAATGTATTTAGTATTGTTAAGTTATACTTACAAATATTATAAGATTGAAAATAAATAACAAATACTTAATTGCTAATGAAGCCATGCCCAACATGATTAGACTTTGGCAAGTAGTATTTTTTTTAGATTTCACTTAATTACCACAACGTAATTTTTTAAAATAAAATAATATACTGTTATTATATTATTGATTTTACTTAAGTTAGGAAAAATTTAAAATCTACACGTATACACAATTATTGACGTAACTAAAATTGATACCTACTATGTTAATGGTATTTTGAATATTTATACAAGTGGCAACTACCAAATGTGTAGCATTCAAATTAAAACGTAACACTGGTACACAAAATCAATTTTAATAAAAAAAAAAATATAAAAACTTCAGCCTAATTACAAAAAAATTTACCGTAAAAATATTTTATGGTTGTTTATACTGGTGAATAGTTGTATGAAGTTTGATAGTCACTTATTTTTTGCATAAAATTTTAATTGCAAATAATTTGTTTTAAAATTTTGTTAAGATATTTTATAATTTATGCACATTTATTAGTAAAATTGTACTTTTTTGAATGAAAGTGCAACTATTAAGTATTTATGGAATCTCTATAAGAGGTTTGAATTTCATTGAATAACAAAATAATTATTTTAATTCCGCTAGTGAGAAGTTATACTAGTTAAACAAAGTACTAGTAAACAAACTGAGTTAAGAATCTTTTAGTCCTTTGAAATTTTATAGTTTTATTAGACAATGAATTAGTAAAAATCAATCGAACTATATATTAAGGTTACTAATAATTGATTTTTTAGTTTGCAACTTATTTAAAATTTATTTACGAAGTGATTTTTATGTGCCAAATTTTTCTTACTAGCCCGAATTTAAAAATTACCATCAATATTTTCTTTATGAAGATAATTGTATCATTGTAAAAATAGTATGATTGTCTATAACACAGTTTTCATATTTTAAATTCTCAACATTTACGTGATAAGGGAAATAATAGAAAAGAATTGAAACAAAAAATAATTAAGTATTTCTTTATTCATTAAATAATATTGTCTAATAGGAGTAAAAAAAGAAGAATATTTTCTTGAATTTTCAAAAACGAATATCTTCCGTTACATAAATATACATTCACAAGCCTTAAAATCTTTTGTCCTTTACATTTGAAACTATCACAATTCCTAATAATTGAAACAAATATAAATTGTACATAAATAATGTTTGTAATATTGACAAAGAAAGAGTTCATAAAAATAAAATAATAATAATAATAAATAGTAAATTTCACATTATTTCATTAAAATGTATCATTTCAATACTTATACAAAATTCAAGAATATATACATAGATAAATTATATATTATGATTATATACTGATGAATAATGTATGTATTATTAATATTAGCTAAATAATATATAAAATATAATTTTTTAAAACAAAAAATGTTATAATGTAAATAATAAATTTTAAAAAGCTAAGTATTTAAGTTAGATAAACTGAAATAAAAATTAACTATTAAATCAAAAAACTAAAAATCTATTAAAATAAATAATGTTATTGATAGGCTAAATAATTTACAAATGGCAGTATTATTAAAATAATTTAAGTTACATACAATCAGATGGTTTTTAATTTACGTTATTCTTATTTTGTCTTATTGAGACTTAATACATATTTAAAAAAAAAACAACAGTGATGATTAACCTTTTTATTTATATAACAATAGATATATCCAGATGAAATTTTGTCAACTTATGTTAAAACCGTATAATTTATTTAAAATAAAAAAATATTTTATCCATTTAATAAAAAACTTTGGCTAATTTTTTATGTAGCAAACCTAGAATTAAATATTATTTTTATTTTTATGTTAATAATTTTTTAATTAAATTATATTTAAACGAGTACAATTTTGATTGGTTGAATCTACGTTTACATGACAGACCATATTACTTTCATATAATTTTTAACCTAATTATAATCAGACAGTTTCATTTTATTTCAGTCATTTTTGTTATGCAAAACATTGCAAGTGATGATAAACATACTAAAACCTCGTATGCAGAACCAAAAAATATACAATTTTTATTTCTTGATTTTAAATTGAATATATTTTAATTATTATGAACAGTCTTTTAAAATAAAAACTTCATGCACACAAATTTATGTATACATCTAAATAATATATATAGAAATATATACTTGAATAATTTCTTATTACTTTTTTGTAGATAAAAAAAAAAATGTAATATAATACATGTCTAAATAATTTTGTAAAAATAGTCTAATTTTGGGCCTATTATTTTAAATAATAATTTAAATTCATTATAAAATATAAATATTACTAAATTTAAATAATTAAGTATATCACACTGTACAATTTAGACTAAGGATTTTAACATTCTGTACAAATCACTGTTTATACAATTTTTTTTTTTAATGTGGTAAATTTTTAAGTATATAATTACCATAATTATTAAAATGTACTAATTATGAGTTGACTGGCTATTTGTTGGTTTTTGTTTTTCACGATTGTATTGGTCTAATATCTCTGGGGGAACTAACATTCTAAGATTGGAATTTTCTGTTTCTAATAAACCAACTTTGTCCATTAATTCAGCAATTTTTTCTTTGAGTACTTCAACTTCTTCACGGACAGCATACATTAAATGACTTTTAACCAAATCCATGGCTTGTTCTATTTTATTATCAATAGCAACTGTAGTTGCTGCATTGTGTGATGCGCTATCCACATCTTCATTAATATTATCTTCTTGTTGTGGATTTATGGCTTCTACCGTTGTTACTAATGGTTTATAAGTAGACATTTGTTGCTGAGAAGGAATGTAACAATGCTGTATACTATCAACATAACTTGAATTAATAGGTACATGCTGTTGCAAAGAATATGTCATTTGCTGTTGAGACATTGGTGGTATTGGTGACTGCATATTATTTTGTGACATAGACATTTGTGATTGTTGAAGCATTGATTGTACTAATTGTGGTTGTTGTTGAACATGCATTTGGCTAGAAGTGACAGTATTTGGAGGAATTTGCATCACAGCTTGTTGAAGTTGTATAGCATTTAAACTTTGTGCTTGAGAATAGGTTGGTTGATGCATAATTGATTGATTGCTTTGTATTGGTATTTGTTGTCCCTGTGATTGCATAATTTGTTGAGCTTGCTGATACTGCTGGTTTGATTGTTGCATATGCTGAGTCTGAACAACTTGTTGGTTCTGAGATGGAGATACCATAGTTGTATTTGACTGAGTCATTCCTAATTGTTGTGGTTGAGTAATAACTTGATTTTGTTGTGGCATATTTGGATTTGACTGTAAAATTTGTTGTGACATTGATTGGCCAGATTGACTAGTCTGAGTCAATTGTATTTGTTGTTGTGATTGTTGTTGTTGAACTTGTTGATTTTGTGGATTTAAAGGTTGTCCCTGAGACATCATTTGTGAAGGGTGAGGTATTTGTTGATTATTTTGATGAATTATTTGATTTTGACTAGTAATTTGATTGATTTGTTGTTGAGAAATTTGTTGCTGATTAATTTGTTGGGATTGGGATTGTATTTGGGCCTGTTGAATTTGTTTAGAGTGTTGTTGTAATTGTGCTTGAGGTATTTGTTGAGTTTGCAAAGAAATTTGCTGCATTTGATTTGTTTGTGGCATTGATTGGGATTGATTTGTCATTTGAGAAATTTGTGTCATATGATGTGTTTGTTGAGGTAATTGTTGATGAATCTGAGAAATTTGGGGACTTTGATTTTGTTGATTTACTTGCTGAATTTGTTGAGGACCTTGTTGTTGTTGCTGTGATGAAGAAACTTGTTGAACATGTGTTTGTTGTGTTTGTGGTGACTGTTGAATATGTTGCTGAGATACTTGTTGAGGTACTGACTGAGATTGACTAGGCTGTGAAATTGATGATTGGTGAGTCAACTGTGGATTTTGTTGTACAATTTGAGGATTCATTTGATTTTGTGGAACTATTGGTTGTTGTTGACTAGTTTGTTGTTGTATCTGTTGAACAGGAGGCAGCTGTTGTTGATTTTGTTGTAATTGTACATGGTTTTGTAATGATTGAGTTTGCATAGGTATTGATTGAAACTGCTGTGGAGTAATATGTTGATTAGACATAGAAACTGATGACGGTTCAGAGGAAACATTTTGAGTCTGAACTGAAGGAGAATTATAATATTGAGGAACTTGATTAATAATTTGGTTCATAGATTGTTGTAATGGTGCACAATTTGGTAAAACAGATTGATTTTGAGGTACATATGTCTTTTGAAATTGGGCTGACATATTGTGCTGCATAATTTGTTGTTGTAAATTAACTTGTGACAAAGACGGTTGATATTGTGGTGGAATTGATTGTGAAACATTATGCTGTTCCACAGAGTTCATATGTTGGATTGGTTGTGGTTGAATAGGTTGATTTTGACTATGTAAAACACCTAATGTAGGTTGTGTCTGTTGTAATTGTGGTTGAACAATTCCAGCGTTAGCCATAACTTGCTGTAGTTGGTGTGGTTGTAAGCTGGAATGTTGCATACAATTTTGACTTATGTTATGTTGTGTAGGCAATTGTACTTGGGAAAGACTTTGTGGTTGAGTTACCTGTACAGATGAAATAATGGACTGACTTGTCAATACTGGAACTTGCATATTTGTTTGTAAAGTTTGACCAGGTGAAACACAAGCACTATGAATAGGAGTGGTTACACCAGACGATACAACTATACTATATGTAGAAGTCTGACTCTTGTAATTATCAGAGTTATTACAATTAGTAGTGTAAGTACTCACATTATTAGTACTAACTCTGTACTCTGGGCATTCATGATGACCATTGTCAACAGGATCAGGTGTTTCAATATCATTTATTTGAGGATATGTTTTGCTTTCTCCATTTACCATAGATGATTTATTATTGTTTCCTGGTTGTTGATTCATTGAATGATCCAAAAAATCCATACAAACCCAACGTCCACGTTTAAAAGGTTCTGTACTTTCAATCTTTACTACTTTGAACCGCTCGTTTCTATTTTTATTTTGTAATCCATTAACATCACAGTCACTTTTTTGCAAACTCAAATCTGTTCCATGATTATCATCATTTTTTGTAGAACCTAGGGAATGTACACTATCTAAATTGTCAACAATTGCTAAACCATACTGAGAACTGGTGGGTATAACTGGTGCTGAACTACCCATATCATTACATGTATTATAAACAACCATATTATCAGCATAGTTTTGCAAATCTACATCATGCCTGATATCTGCCCTGTTGTCATGAGAATGGGGTTCAGTATCTGGTGAGTCATCATCATTATCGTCAATATTATTTGGCTCTGTGATGCTAGTGATTTCAAATGAAGTTTTTTTGGAATTGACACAATTGTCACCAGAAAGTGGTAATGAATTAGTATTTTCCATGCACTTTTGTTTCACATCAGATTGTGTATCATTTATTTTTTGATCAATGCAGCTTTCATCCATTGTAACAAGTTAATTAACCTTTACAAGAAGCCTAATGTATGTCGCCTAAAGAAACAATATCTAATAGTAATAATATTATTTGAAAACATAAAATATGCTACATACTTATGTGATTATATACATAGAAATAAGTAGACGTCAATAAGTTGATAAAGTATTGGAAAAAATAGTAAAAACCATACGCGTACTTGTTTAACAGGTTGCGACATTAATTAAGCACTTATTTGCATATACCGAATATAAAAATCTATTCGAACGAAACTGAAAAACTGTACGACATTGAGAAACGAACGGTTCACAAGAGTTTTTCACATTTCACAGTCGAAAAGTAAACTGCATTTTTCCACGAAAACACGCCTCATCAATAAGGAATGCGCGAAAAAAACAACCTCGACCTTGTGAACATACGGAAAATATTTATCAGATATCACATTTTCATGGAAAAAAAGATTGTATGCTAAACTCATATAGTACTCTATGGCTAAAATAATTAGTCATTACTAACCTTTGTTTCTAATTTTTTTTTTACATAAAATAAAATGCATCAAGATTGGAGTAGTAATTTAATTTACACATCTGACTATTTATACTTTAAAATATTATTGTTAAACTGAAGTGTTGTTTTGTGTATGACATACTTGATGTAATAATAATAACATAAAAATTCAAGTTTTTCTTACAAATGTAAGAAACATTGGAATTGTAAAACTGAGTCATTTGGTAATTGAATTAATAAGAAAATTGTGTTTTTTTAATTTTTTAATACAAATTTTTAAATTAATATTCCGAAGCCTGGACTGCCTTAACTTAAGTTTACATATAAGTATGTTACTATTATTTGAGGGGCTTACGATTTTAGTTTATAGAGCGAGATTACAAAAGCTTATACTTGGGCCCTTCAGTATAATTGTTTGCAATTTTACATGGGGGTATAAGAACAAACTACAAGGGATAAAACAAAAAATACTATAAAATTACTCCCAAAAGAATAGTAACTTTATTTTCATCACAAATTCACAACTTAATAAATTATAGTAAAATAAATGCAGAAAATTTATTTGTAAAATCAGGTAGTATCTTCACATTGTACTATCTTAAGGCATCGTCTTACAAATTCTTCAAACAATGGTACTGCCATGGCTTTTTCTAACTCATCATTTGGAGAAGAACTGTTATCAATCTTAGCTAAAATTTCTTGGAGAAATGAATTAGACACTAATTTTTTTAACTGTTTATCATAACCTAAAATAAAATTAGCTATCAAAAAATAATATAACAATAGGTTTTACAATTACAGATTAGGTTTTTGTGATCTAGAGAAGTAATTTTTTATCTACTTCACATTGTCATTAAGATTATTTTTTTATTTAACTTATTCTGTAAATTATATAACTATTAAAAATACAAAAGAACATTTAGTGTGGCAAAAAAAAATTGTTTTTGGAAAAAATGGAAAACAAAATAAACTTCTTTGAAATCACTGAAATATTAGTCCAAATGATGATATCAACCAGTCATTTTTAATTATATAAAAACTCATTAATAATTGCCTAATATTTTACTTAAAAAAATTACTTTGTATATTAAAATGCTTATAACTAAATAAGCATTAGTTATAATTAATTATAAAATTGTTATTGATATTACTAAAAATATTTAATAGAAAAGTGCTAAAAACTGGCTATTTTAAAATAAAAATTATATATAGAGTGGTCCACAATGTTTTGTCAAATTCAATAATTTTTGATCTAATTAACATTTTATGTGAATTTTTTTTTTTATAAGTAATTTTTATTCCTAAAAACTAATAAAAAGAAAAGAAAACGAAATCTTTTTACGCTAAAAATTGTTTATAGATGTGTAAATTTTCATGGAATAAAACAAAGTTTTCTTCTGTCCTTTTCTCAATATTTCACTGTTTGATAATATAAAAAAAAAAAAATACAAAAATTAAATTTTCACAAATTTTAAAATGCTGTAGAAAATTTACTACAGAGCATTATTAAAATATTTTTTTTTAATCAAATTTTTCCTTAAAATCTACTCTACAAAATGGCCTTATTACAAATTTTTTTTTACATTTAACAAATTAAAATTTTTTTTTAATAAATTCAAAAACTATTATATTTTATGATACTTTTATAGTTTCTAGGTGTAAAAATTATTAATTAAAAAAAAAAAATCAACGTAAATATTGATTGAATCAAAAGTTATTGAATTTGTCAAAACATTTACAATTCCCTGTATATGATATTAACGCAATCTTAGAATGTGTAAATTTATAAAATAAAATATTACAGTGGAATCTAAATTTTATCAAAAGTTATAAGATTTGTCCATTAGATCTATAGCACTCTGTACATAAACATATAAATAAAAAATATTAACTTTACATTGTACATACAAAGTAAATTTAACTTCTCTATAGGTATAGTGTCTTCAGTAGGATATAATTGTTCAATATTTAAATCTTCATTAGAATTAGTAGATTGAGAATTTATTGTACAGTCTTTTGATGAATGATTATGATAACATGCAACTGAACAACTGAAAATGATAACCTTTTAATCTTAAAACTTATAAAATTATTATATTTTTATTCTTACTATTTTATAGAACATTTTGGACATTTATATTTTGACTCATTTTTAGAACAAATATAGCACTTCATTTTTAACAATTGAAATTTTAAGTACTATTTTGAAGAATATCTAGAAATATTTGAAATATTCTTTAATTAAATACCATATTTAATTATTTTAAAAAATACTCAACAAGGAATAATAGGCTTAAACAATAAAAATGTAAGCTTTTGTTGTTAAATTTTTTTCAGCTTAAGATCAGTATTAGATTTACGGGAAGGGCATTGTACCATGACCAAGATTTTTTGTTTTTAGTAACCTCATAGTTTTAGTGTTTGAAAAATTATTTTATATTCAAATTTTATTTTCATAAGAAAAGTATAAGAATATGTCAAAATCATAAAGGATACCTATATATTCATTTTTTTAAATAATAATTGAAACTGTTTTAAATAGAGAAGGTTTATGATTAGGGTGAAAAATTGTGGTAAATGTAAAAAATGAGGTAATTGTAAATTTATTTTTTTTCTTAGAAAATTTTGCAGATCTTATTTTAAATTAAAAAGTTCTGGTTCTTATTGTATTATTATCATATTAAATGTTCGAAATAAAAACTTATGTACTTATTAAAAAAATGCATTACATCACATCATTATTATAATTTTTTTTTAAAGAAACCAAGTTTATATTTATGCGACAAATAATAATCAAAATACCAAATTAATATTGAAGTGGAGGAATTAGTACTCAAATAATACTTACAAATTACATCAAATAGTTTTTTATCGAATCCAATTATTGTACAACTTCTAAGCATACTTATTTATGACAAATTAAAAATCTTTTTATAATACACATTATTTACAGAAAATATTCATTATAAATGATTAAGATTTAAAGAAAATTAATCACCACTTTAGGACATGTGATTGTTTAGCATTTTATCATATTTTAGACGACTACTATCACGTCAGTGTTACCATTACACAGTGGTCTCAAACTTATATTTAGCAAACCAAAAAACTAATTTTTATTGACTAAATGGGTAATTAAATGACAACATTTTATTTTCGTTTGTAATATTTCTAGTAATTTATTTTGTATGCAGTGGTATTTTCGCAAAAAAAACTGTTTTCTTAGAGTGCATGCTGATTTTTAGCTTCAATGCGAAGCGAGAAGGTATTGGTTTTATTAAGATGTGTTTATTTTTTTTATTATTTTTTTTTTTTGTGTCTGTTACCACTTTTTCTCAGCTCTCACCGAACGGACTTCTTTCAACGATACGTCAAAAGATCACAAATCGTATCTAGTCGAAGACATTACCCTCAAAAATTGAAAAAATTTCCCTCGTTCCCCGTAAGTGGGGGAAACCTCTAAAAAAATTACAAATTTAAAAATCGCTAATTTTCGAAATTTTTTCAATTTTTTTTTTATAGATGCTTGATGTCTTTATCTATCATTTGGTATATATTTTTTTGTAAATCTAACACTTAACCTGCCCACAGGGGGGGATTTAAAATGACAACTTTTTTACAAAAAATTAACTTTTTCAACTTAACTTTTGAAAATGTGTCCTGAAGGTCTGACACTTCTATATATATCTTAAATTAAAAGTAATGTAATATACTTTAATTTGAAAAAAAAAAATTTGACCTCTGGACTTGTCTTCGTGGTGAAAATGGCTAACGAATGCTATTTTTGTGTAAAATTTCTTGATTTTATATTTTACATTTTTTACTTTAAAAGGCTAAAACTTTTTGTAAAATATATGGATCAATACAATTTTTTTATGAGAAATAATATTTTTTAATAATTTCTTTTTTATTCGACATACTTTATCTTAATCAGGATATTAATAAGGAACTAGCAGATCATGTAGCTTTTAGAATAATACACCAATTTTTTTAAATTAAACACTATCTAAAGATTTGCATCGAAACGTTTTTTTTTTATAATCACTGTCAGATATCATTATACTTGATCCATCTATACCACGTCACCACTGTGCCGCAACCCCCCTGTGCTGGATTTTTTTTAATATAAATAGTACTCCCATACGTATTTTTTGAATTTGTTTCGAAAAAGTTACTTAAGAAAGTTCTGTTAAAATGGTCATATCGGATTTCTTTACATACCAATGCTATATAAAATTCTAAATAAGCCACTTAATGGCAGTGTAAACTTTCAATATAAAGTAACGAGTAATTTTTCAAAATATCCTTAAACAACTAATTGAAAATAAAATATAAATAGTTTTGTTTCTGTAATTTGTAATTCGAGTTAAGTTATTATTATTTAATTATCCATGAACTACTTATAACTTTAAAAGTAGGCCCTGAAAAACAGTACCTTAAAAACAATAAAAAAATCGATATAAAAATAACTATTCTGGTGTTGGCTAACATTTTACATAAGAAATTAGTGTATAATATAACAAACAAAAATTATTTGAGATTTACAGTTATGCCCGTTTCATTCGTACAAGCTTAAAATTATTAAATTTGATGTAAATGAAATCGCAAAGAGAAAACTTTTTGCAATTACTGAAAACAATATTTAACTTTATTTATCACACTAATGAGATGTTTATATGGAAATATAAAAAACTTTATTGAACATTATTTGTTGGGAAGATTATATAGTTATAGTTCGTAAATATTAAAATTGCTTAGGAGCAATGGGACATTACCACACATAATCACTATAGTAGCTCTCATAAACTAATTTTTCTATGAGAGTAGATTTTGGTTAGGTTTATTTAGCTAAAAATTAATTTCTACTACCAAAAAGTATTTTTATAAATCAATTTTTTTTAATTTTGAAAGGATAAACCTCTCTTTCAGAATTTGCTAATGACAAGGAAATAATCCTTATGAGGTTCTGAAAGAGTTGGTCAGCCCTAACGACAAGAATAAGATATTGATACTTCAATAGGTATTCATGTTAGTAAATTAATTAGTTATCGTTATTTATTGATAAGTCATCAATTTAAGATTACTGGGAATCTTAGTCAATATTTATTTTAATTTAAATATAGAAGTGCCGTTGTCATTCTGAAATAATACAATAGATAATTAAGCTAATTTAACCTAGTAAAAAGGCATTAACACATATGCAATTAGTTACGTGCATTTCAAGACGGCGAGTATTTAGGAACTCATTATCAGAAGATAATGATAATTGTACATTGAAGCAACTAAAATTATAATTAGAACCTCGTGCAAAGTATCTCGTAATTTCTAGGCGATAAATTAAACGCGTGACATATGGGAGTGGTCATCTAAGTATTCAATAGTTAAGCGAATACTACATAGACATTTTATTATGTATATGAATTATGACTATTCAACGCGGAAACATTGAAGCAGCGATTAAACTCGCCCTTTTGGATGTTATACCATGAAAGAAAACCTAAACAATACTTATTAGTATCGTTCAATAAATGATAAAAGGTAAATATTTTCATTTGTCCATCAGTTATATTTCTTTCATGATTAATTCATAAGATATTTTTAGATATAATTTTGCATAACTGTGTTTTTTATAGTGTTAAGTAAATTACTTTTTTTTGTTTGATAGTTAAATTCAATGGTAAATGACTCGATAGATTAGGAATTAAACTACTTAAAAATTACTCGATATTAAAAATATTGAAGTTGCATTACTTTATCATTAAAAAATAGCTAGATTACAATGGAAGCTACATTTTTTCATTTGTATGTTAAACATGATATTTATTTGAATTGAATCATTTATACCTATAATAATTTTAATGAGACACACTTATGGGTATATTTAAAAATTCATAATGGGGACTGTCACTAAAAAATATTTTAATTGACAATTTACCATAAAAACTTTTTTCTACTATCTTTTATTCATTTTGAGTTTGATGAATAAAAAAAAAGTCAACAAATATTTTTATATTTTACTGCTATGGATTGCCATGTGCCATTTTACTTTTTCAAAATTCGCCACTGATTTCACTAAATTAATTGAATTAAATCCTAAAATAAAAATACAAGAATGAAATTAATGTAAAATATATAATATTAAATAAACATAATTTAATTGAAAAGTATTATTTGAGTTATGACTATTTTCTTTACAGGGAAATTGCTTGGAAAAACCCCAATCTAGGAGTAAGGACTTATAAATACCTCAATTTTTACACAATGAGGTGAGAATTTTTTTTGTTAAGCTCCCAGTATAAAATTCTAAATAAACCACTAGAGGGCAGTGCAAACTTTAAAATTAATTGTTCAGAATAAAGTACGAATATATTTTTTAAATTACCCTTAAATAACTAATTGGTATATAACTGTCTTTATTAAACTATGTTAATATTTTTCTTAATGTTCCTTTTCTATCGAAGTTTAGAAATCATAGCTATATGATATTAGATTTGATAGTATTAAGTAGTTCATTGGTGATTTATTGAAACCATTCTTTCAACTTTTATAGCCATAGAGTTCTATGTCTTCCTCTGCTCTTCTTCTCACAAATTATTCCTTAAATTATGAGGTTTAAGAGCTGAAATTTTTCTTCCCTTAACATATGCCTAAAATGTTGTAACTTCTTTAATTTTATATAATTTATTCTGGTTCTTAGTCTTTTTTTAAAGTGCCACTTTTGAAATTTTGTTAACTCAAGATACATTTAATCTTACAGAAATACTACATCTCAAAAGCTTGGATTCTTTTGGATTACATAATAATGTGCATATTATTGTGTAATCATCATCATATATGATGATTATAGTAAATTTAGAATAACTTTTCTTCGCCTAAATACTATACAGTTATAATATAATTCTAGATTAATAAATACTATTTATTAAACTTAAAAAATAATGATTATTATTTTAAAAATGGAATATTTATTTATTCCCGATTACAATAAATTACCATAAAGAAAGTCTGAGGTAAAAGTAACATAATTATATGCCTTCTATGTACCAATAATTGTTTTTTGTTTCTAAATTAAATTTTTAAACATAGTAAATACAATTACACTTGTATAGTTCTACAAATTTTGACTATAAATAATCTTAGTTTCAATTTTAAGTAATATCACAATATTTCATTTCCTTACATTAATCATGATACATTTTTAACTATGATGGTACACATAAATTAATCATTCTACAAATATATTTAGTTATTAAATTAAGAATTGTAAAATATAATGTGAGATATTATGTACAAAGGAACTGTTTTTTCATATATAAAGTGCTTATGGAGTAGAAGATAATTTAAATGACAAAGCATGTATCATATGCTTTGTTATACTATATCATAAAATATTAATCAAATTATTTATGTTTAGATCTTACATTGATATTGACATGAATGTTTAATAATATAAAATTTTCCCTTCACTTTCAATAATAGCATTTAATGGATGATAATTTTTATTATATATATATAAATTTTCATTTTTTATAATATGAAAACCTACAATGACCATAAAATATTACTCATTCACTATTGGAACTCAATGTACTCATTAATATTATTAAACTTAAAAATATACAAAATGGTAAAACTATTTATAAACTAATAAAGTGTAGAATTATATGCATTTATAAATTTTGCTAAATTTTTTTTCAAACACTAATTACAATACAGAGTTTTATTAATTGATTTAGTAATATGTGATTTGATGTTAGAGTTTTGGAGGAAAATTAGGGGAGGTTACCTTTTAAAATGGAAAATATTTCTACACTACTATATAATTCTAAGACAAAGTTTCACTTGGGACTCTCGTAAGTGTGTTTAACAAAATGTAAAAATGTATATAATTCTATGCTCTACTGATAAAGTATTTAAATAATACAATTCACAAATATTAAGAAAATTTAACAAACAACAGTGAAATGTGATACACTTTAGTTAGAATGGTATCCAAAAACTAATATATTGGAAAGGTTTTAATTTTACTATTATATCATATTGATCAAAAATTGATATTAAATAAAAAAACTGAAAAATTGGTCTTCTTTTTTTATTGCTTTAGAGTAATAATTAATTATTTTATTTTGTCAACATTTTCCAAATCATACTATTTAAATTTAAAATTTAATGAATCAAAAGAAAATTAATTTTGGGAAATTTTAACAGCATCTAAATTATTTTATTAAATTTAATTAAAAATTGTTGTCTCTGATATTTGCTTATATATATTTAATTTATTTTATTCAATGGAAAATTTTTATATAGGGTTTAAATTATTGATAAATCCTATTTAGGTTCTACAGAATGGAAATGTCAATTAATTATTTTTTACAATTATAAGCTTATAAGAATTTAACAGCTATAAGTACATTTTTATACATATTAATAATAATCTGTACAATTATAATAATTAGACTAATTAAAATAATTTGTTTTAACTTGTAGAAAAAACTTTCTATGTATTATTATGATATAATTTATAATAAATACAAATTTAAAAAACTTTGAAACTTAAAATCACTGAACATAAAAATAATTGCTGAATTAGTAAAAATATCACTTAATGTTTTTGTTACATAAATTTTTGTATTAAACTAATAAAAATTGTTAAATAATTATTAATTATTAAATAAAAAAAAATAAAAATTACTACAAAAAACACTTGGTATTTCAATTTAAATTTATGTTTGATAATGAAAGATAAGGTTGACTTTTATTTTAAACCATAGTTTCTGGATCATTCCAGTCATAAGTAGTTATTGTAGCACTAATGTTACTATCAATTGATTTTTGTCGTGATATAGAATGATTCAAATTAGTTTCATAAAATAAATCAATATTTTCATTGTGAGAACATCCACCTCCTTCAGATCTCAGTTGTAATGATTCTGTACTTTTTGATGACAATTGTGATGTTAGTGAATGTTGTGAGTTTTCTTTATAATACATCCCATTAAATGTATAAACTTTATCGGACCTAAAATTTTAACATAGTTGCCTAATTAATAATATTATAAATAATATTCTATGAAATCATAAAAATGTGTCTGAAAAAAGATGGCCAAATAATGGAAAAGGGGCGTATTTAATTATTCTAAAAAAAGGATAACACATCTGTCAAAAAATTAAACAGTTTAAATACTCCATCAAAGGAAAATAGATCTAATATATTATTGGATAACAAGGACAATATATTGCAATTAGTTATACACGAAGAAGATGATTATGCACTTAAGGTGCCTGATGATGTAGAAATAATGGAAANCTTAAGGTGCCTGATGATGTAGCAATAATGGAAGATTTGTTCAATCGGTCATTAAGTATAACTGATGACGATTATCAAATCCAAAAAAGTCCATTATTATATTTAAATGAAACTCAAGATCATAATTTAAGAAATGATTTTTACTATAACAAATTAACAAAGAATTTGAAATACTACAGACAGGTAGAAGACAATACAAATATAGTTAAAAAACTCAGCACAGTGGGGTGGCGGCACAGTGGGGTCGTAGCATAGGTGGGTCAAGTATAGATGATATCTGACAGTGATTAAAATCACTATCATAAAAAACGCTTCGATGCAAATCTGTAGATAGTGTTTAATTTTAAAAAATTGATGGATAATTGCAAAAGCAACATCAACTTCTATTAAAATAAAATACAAAACCCATAATTATCATACAAAAATAGTATATTTTTCAATATGGTAGCCATTTGCGTATAGAAGATAGATCGTCGGGACAAATTTTTTTTTTTCATTTTGTAGTACATAAAATAAGCTTTAATTTTATATATGTTTAAAGGACGCAGTATTTCCGGAACATTTTCAAAAATTAAGTTGAAAAAGTTATTTTTTGTAAAAAAGTTACTATTTTAAATCCTCCCAGTGAGCAGAATAAGTGTTAGATTTTCAAAAAAAATTATATCAAATGAAAGGGAAATATCTAAGGTTTCAATACAAAAAAATATTATTTTTATTTGTTCATTTTTGAAAAAGTTATGGCAGTTTTAAGTACAAAAAACATCCCGATAAAATGTAATTTTTATCGCAAACATTACATTTTTTTTTAAATTTTCGACAGCCATTTGCACATAGAAGATAAGATGTCGGGACAAATTTTTTTTTTTCATTTGATAGTATATAACATAACCTTTGATTTGATATATGTTTAAAGGACGCAGTATTTCCGGAACATTTTCAAAAGTTCAGTTGAAAAAGATCTATGTTTTTTACAATATTTTAAGTTTTGAACGCCCCCTATATAAGGGGAAATTGTCCAATTTTAATAAAAAGTATGTCAAATGAAAGATGTACTTATAATGTATTTAGAAAAAAAAAATTTGTGCTGATATATACATTTTTCAAAAAGTTATAGCATTTTTAAGTTGAAAATTTAAAATCGAAAATCGAAAATTTTAACACAAAAATAGTGTTTTTTTAACTACGGCAGCCGTTTAAATGCAGAAGAAAAAGTGTCGGGACAAATTTTTTTTTTTCATTTTATAGTACATAAAATAAGCTTTAATTTGATATATGTTTAAAGGACGCAGTATTTCCGGAACATTTTCAAAAATTAAGTTGAAAAAGTTATTTTTTGTAAAAAAGTTACTATTTTAAATCCCCCCAGTGAGCAGAATAAGTGTTAGATTTTCAAAAAAAATTACATCAAATGAAAGGGAAATATCTAAGGTTTCAATACAAAAAAATATTATTTTTATTTGTTCATTTTTGAAAAAGTTATGGCAGTTTTAAGTACAAAAAACATCCCGATAAAAGATGATTTTTATCGCAAATGGCTACCATATTCAAAAATATGCTATTTTAACAAATTTTTGTTTTTTAAATTAAACACTATCTACAGATTTGCATCGAAGCGTTTTTTATGATAGTGATTTTAATCACTGTCAGATATCATCTATACTAGACCCAACTATGCCACGACCCCACTGTGCTGGTTTTTTTTTTATAAAACTTATGTACATTTTTTCAGTAATATTGCACATTAGCAATGTATTTTTAAATAATTTTAAAATTGATTATAGAATAGAAATTTCATTAAAAAATTACCTCTCAACATTTGATTGTAAATGATCAGACTGAGGTGAAGACATATCTGATACTAATGGTGTACTTTCATCATCACTACTTCCAGTTGCACACACTGCTGATGAATGGCTTTTATCTTGTGGAGGACTCGTAGACAATTTTTCATTGCTACATACTGGAGATATTGTTACTGATGGTGGTTGTATCCAACTAGTGCTTGCTACTAAACAGCTTAACATGCCTACTGAACCTGCAATACCATGCTTAATAATACTATTAGCCTAAAAATAAATATCATTATTAATCATCAAGTATAAGTTATATATCACATTACAAGGGTATTTGTTTTTAAAAACAAACTTGGTTAGGATTTTTTGTTTCTAGTACTGTTTCAGTTTCATCATGTCTGTTCATAACTAACGATGCAGGTCTTTTGACTGATTTAAGATGTAATGGTTTGCCATTTTTTTCATTTGCAGTTGTAACAATACAAGCCTAGAATAATCATAAAAATGAAAACTTTTATTCTTTTTATAAGTTTTAAAGAAAATCGGCCAAATGTTACAAACAATTTGAATAATAGAAACCCGTTTCTTTCTTATTGAACACCTATGTATAGCAATTATTAAATATACAGTTATATATTTATATATAAAAATATATGGCTTAAAATGAATAAAATTATATTACAAATTTAATAATTAGTCATCATATTTTAATTTCACTAACTATATATTTTACCACTATAATTTTTGACTTATGATGTTTTTATTTATTTCAAGAAGGGTTTTAAAATTTTTTTATCAAAAGTTACATTTATGTAAAAAATCTAAAAATTTTGAATAATGATAATTTAACACCTCTTTAAATAAAGCTGTTGAGATAGAGAATAAGCCAACAAAATATATTGTAAATAATTAAAAAAAATGAAGCAAGGTACAATATTTTAAATTGTAATGTAAGATTCTGTAATGGGATAATCTTTAAAATAGGAAACATAATTTTTAATAATAGATTTCAAGAAAGACAATATATTCCGTATTACATTTAAATTAAATTAGTGACATTTCACAGAAAAATAAGATACTACTTAAGTATTTACATGTCAATGTAACTACTTAATGAATTATAAGTTAAGAAGACTTGTAGCTCAATAAGTCAAATGATGATTTTAAATTATAATATAATATTCACGTATTAAATTATACAGCAATCTTACTTTGTAGTCAGTATTAGTCTTTCTAGTAGTTATTGGAGTACTGTTCAAAGAATTAATTGGTGCTGAACAGAGACCATCATATAGAAAAGGATGTTGAACAATATTATGATGTGGTGAACTCTGTAAAGATATTAATAAATAATTATAATCTTATAAGGTGTATTCTTAATTATGTATTCATATTATTTATCGAAAAACGCACAACTATTTAAATTTATGAATTTTATAAATTGTATAAAACGTGATATAATATAGCCTAATATTATAATATATCACTTGAAAATTAAAAAAAAATTTTAATTTTATTCCCCAAATTTAAGAAAAATCTAAGATATACCCAATTTTGAATTAAGAATTTGAAAATTATAATTCAACATGATATTTCAGTTAAAATCGTGTTGATCAATAACTATTTTAAAAAGTTAATAACTTTTCATGTAGCTTTACCTTAGTTTTTTAATTTTTCATAACTTATTCCATAGGGTTATATTGTATATTATTTTGGTTTATAAGCTTTTTTAACGTGTTGAATAACTATAGAAAAATTGACCACAATTTACAAATTTAATCAATAAAACACCATACAAACAATGAACATTTATTACCACTTGACATATCAAAAATTACATATACTTCTTGGTGATCATTATGCATGAACTCTAATTATAGAAACCATTAACCAAGAAAAAAATATGACTAAGTGGGTTATAAAGATTGACCTAAGAAAAACGCAGAAAAGAGTATTTTACTTCATTTTTTCATGACGTAAATGTCTCACACCTTTCTCAATTTGAATGGTTCCCTTTTTTTTAATATTCTAAACTATCTTTAACTTCTAATTAGAATTAGCGAATCACAATTTCCAAATAACTTTTCAATAAATCCCTAAATTAAAAGCTTAAGGAACGATAATCAATTATTAGCATTTAATAGGATAATTTCCTTTTAGATTTATATCTTGAGCCTTTTGATTGTTATTCTACAAGTTATAGTAAACATCTTTCTAAAGAAAATGTTTCATTCATCCTATTAAGACTTTTGTTTGGTAACCTATTAGCTATACAACTTGTCAAGTTAAAAGACTGCTAGACTGCCAGGTACAGCAGAAACATCTTTAAATATCTTTGTGCGAGATCCTATGTAATTCTTGTAAATAATTTATTATGCTAACATCATTACAAATATTAACACATAACAAAAAAATAGAAACTTTAAATACTTTTGCTTAATTATATTCATGTTGTAACTTAAGACGTACTTAAGTATCATAATAAATTAATTATTTTTATACTAATAAAATACTTAACAGTTTCTTACTTGGAGTAAAAAGACATCTACGTCACCTCCATTATCTGTACTTGAAGCAGTACTGCATACAGATCCATCACCTAATACACAAAGTTAATTAATTATAAATAACAACATATAAATTATGATTAGGTTATTAATTAAAATTAAAATTTTTGCAGCTACTGCTAAAAATCCAGTTCAAATATATCAAGTACAGAATATCATACTAAGCCTAACTGAAAACTTCTTAAATATACAGGTTGACCCTGTAAGTTATAGATAAGTATTTTATAAATATTAGGCAATGGATATTTAGTGTAAGCAAGTATATATTACTTTAGATATTTCATTTTCATATTAACTGAAATTTCCCCACAATACTTATCCAATCTAAAATTATAAAATAGACTAGTCAAAATTATTATCAAGTATTTCACTGAAGTATTATTTGCATTGACTTCTAAAATATTAATTAAAATTTTAGAAAAATATTATTTAAATTAATTTTTTTTTCAATTTTGTACTTAAAAAATTAAATATGATAAATTTCAAAATAATTGTTTTGGAAAATCAAAATATATTTGAATATTTTATTTAATGTATAATAAAAATGTTAACATTTAATATAAACAATGAATATTTTTAGAAGATAACAGAGTTAAATAAAACAAAAGTGATAATTGCTTATAACTATTAATTAATAAAATATACTATCTAATTTTTTTATCCAGGGCAAGCAGTGTAAATAAACTAGTATACTAAATATATCAGCAGAATGGGGGTAATTGTAAATGTGTTTTTCTTAGAAATTATTCAGTAGATATAACTTATTATTATAAAATTTTTAATTACTGCATACACTTAAATTTATTCTACATACTGCTTTATAAATATATTTTTGTGTATAAGAAAATTAAATTTAACCTCTCAAAAAAATTATTTTTCTAGTATTCTTATGACAAAATACGCGAACAGCTGTTTAAAATATTAAATATATATATTGAAATTTTTATGCTTAAATATAGTTATTTTTTAGTATAATTAAAAATAAAACAGATGTTTAATTCAAAAATATATGAACAATTTCCCAATTTATTTAAATTTACTGCACTTCATCAAATTAGATAATGTAAAAATTTGTGATATATTAATTTAATTAATAGTTTTTTTTAAATTGTTTAAGTTTTGGCCCCAGTCTAAGTTGAAGATACAACTCTTTAAGATTGGAGTGATGAACATTATTTCTATGTATAAAACAAAAATATAGTAACTTCATTGGTTAAGTTCAAGTAATGATACAGTGCACACATTATAAATACTATTAAAACTTAATATCTTTAATGTTTTACATAAAAGATAAAATTAAAAAAATATATTTATATGTTTTGTAAAATAGAACTGAGGTTAGAACATTTTTATATACATGCAGTTTTAAGTGTGAACAAATTACTTCATTTTTTTTGTACAAATAATTATAAATAAACTAATTATTACAATAATGAAAGGCAAATTAATTTAAAAATAATTGTATCCTCTTTAACTGTTAGAAACCTAACTAATAATGTTTGTTAAAACTAATTATATGTGTTAACCCAAAATTAATGAATGCAAAATTATATTGTTAGTATTAAAGCATGTACAATCACTTAACTCATTTAATATTTACATACTTACTATTGTAATTCAAAATATTTTAAATAGTTTTCAATTCATTCAGATAAATATTCACTGAAATATTAAGAAAAAAAAAACGAAATAGTAGTACCACAAAAAAAGATTATTAGTAACAATTGAACGAAGTTAGAATTTCATTTAAATTATAAATTTGAATTTTTTGTACAACCATTAATATTTTATGTACTATGGTTTATATGCAATTTCAGCAACATTTTATAATATTAACACAATTTTTCATGTTAAAAATGATCAAGAAAAAGTTAAATCTTAAGAACATTTTTATGTTAATGTATTCTAAATATTGTCCATCAACCAGAAGTTTTTCCATTAACATTAGAGTTATGACACTATTTTTGCCGATAAGTGATATATAAACTTATTAACCTAAATTAAAATTATTGCAATTAGTAATTTTCATACCTTTTGAAAAAAATTTACAATGAAAGGCAGATTTTTCTTTTTGATGGTTTTTTTTTATCAGCTAATATTTACTCTACAACCCTGAAAAAACCCTGTTTACCCAGTAGCGATCAAATGAAGGAGATTAAGGGATAGATTACTCTTTTTGACATTTTTGTACAATTTTCATTATATATACTTTATATTCTGAAAAAATCAGTAATCCTACAAACTTTAAACACAAAATTTTGTTAAAATTTATAAATAAGTAAATTCAATGAGGTACTATTATAAAATAAATTAAACATTTAAAATAGGCTTAATAAGAAGGAACTCATCTATACAGATTTAATAATCGATAATAATATCTTGATATAGTAACGCAAACAAAAATATTGCGGTATGGAGGTATAGCTTCCATAAAGAGTTTTCATTACCTACCAAAATTATTTGGTCGCCACCAAGTTCATTTATTAACACATATAAGCATTCAACTGTATCATTATGCAATCTTTTTATTTCAAATGTTATAATAAAAATTAATGGCAGCATATTATTTATAATATGTTTCGAATACAGTTTGTACACCTTTTGTATTTTTGGCAAGAATAAAAATATAACAGGTTATGTATAACATATATTTTGTAAAATCAGTACATTAATACATAAAACTAACATATAAATGAATATGTGTGAACAATCTACCCTAACTAGCTATTATTAGATATACCTAAAAAGTGATAAGTATAATATAATAAATTAAAAAAATAAATCTCGAATGTTGATGAAAAACAGTGTACTAATATATCATGCATTCATGCTTAAGATTTTTCAACATGCATCATGTCAGTACTAAGTAGTGATTCTGAAATTTGGTCCATATCTACTACTATAAAAGATTTGCTTTCTCCTGTATTATTACTATTATTATGCATGAGTCCATTTTGACTTTGCACTTCCGTCTGCTCACCTGTTATTATATCAATAGGTTGATGAGGGATTTGCAGGTATGTTGCAGTAGTAATTGTTCCCTGTTCTTCAGATTCCTCCATAACATCTTCACATGCTTCTTCATTAAGGGTTTGCAAAGCTCCACAAATCATTTGTTCTTCTAATGTTACCTGTTTAAAATATATTTTTATTTTTTTAACAATGACATAAAATAAAACCATTGAACAAATTAAGTATAACCCAAATTTAAAAATTGTAAATATGAAGATCAATACATAATTTTATAATTTGTTTTCTTATATTAGAAATTTTATTATAATGTCAAGTGAAAGTTTAGGATACGGGTAGCAGACCTCAAGTAGTTGGGGTAAAGGCGATGAAAAAGAAGAAAATATGTTATTGAATTAGCAACAAATTAAAGTTTTTATTCAAATACTATGATATATCAACTATTTTTATGAAAATGTATATTTAATAATTAATAGTAAATTTTTGGATAACAAGCAAATTACTGTACTGTACTTTTAAAGTGAAGGTATCAGGGTTAAGATTCTTAGTACTACTAAGAGCTTTTAGTAATGTTTTTTTCTATTACAAGGAGTAACTAATAAGTAATAGGAAAATAATTGATTAAATATTGAGAATTGTAGATGTTTTACACTTTAAAATTTTTTAAGCGTTCCTTAATTAAGACACCAATAATAAATATTTTTTATCTTTTCCTAGGATCTAATTAAAAGTATATTAAAATATATATTAGGTATATTAAGTTTACTCAATTTAATAATTACTTGTTTTTCCATAGATGAGATTTTATTGTTTTTTGAATCATTCTCATTTGATGCTGTGGTTTGATTGCTATTACTATTATTTACAGAACCTAAAATAAATAAATTACATTAAAATAATTAATTGGTGCAATTTATTTGATTACAAAATAATTTTTAATTTTATTACTTCCTCTTCTATCTGGAGTATTGCTTTTTGAACTATTTGATCTTGAATGTTTGACTATAGGGTTAAAGGTGATTTCACTATTACTCAAATATTCTTTTTCACGTAAAGCTAATAACACAATACGAAACAATTCCCAGTCACCAAAGTTCATTTTTAAAACCTGAATAGTTTAAATTGCATTATATTAATGTTAGTTTATTAAATTTAATTAAATTAATTTGAGTAAAAATAAAAAAACTCAATACGTTAAAACTTGTTAAACTTCAACTTCTTTAAATAAAATTATTAAAAATTCACTTTAATCATCCTCTAGAAAAGTAAGTTCATAATATTTATATCATTCTTTGATTAAAATTTAATGATAACTCATTTTCAACAGTTCAATTGAACATTGATTTAACTACATTAAGTTAACATAAAAATTCAACATACGTTCAAATAATTAATAGTTTAAAGTAATATTTATACACATACATTTTTTAAGTCATTTAAATTGCAATGTAAAATTACACATCCAGTTAGATTATTTTCTTTTATGATTTGAGTGTATTTTGCAATATTAGATTCTTGCAGATCTTTTATTTTTGTTAACAATTTACAAACATCATCAACACTACATGAAGATAATCTAATATTGATAAGTTCTTCCTACAACATGAAAAATATAGAAGTTAATTAATTAAATTAGAAGAAAAATTTGATCCCTTATAATCATGAAAAAAGGGGTTTTAAAACTTAAAATATTTTTAGTAAATAAATATTCTTATTATTGCAAATACCCAATAAAATTAAACATTAAGTATTTATTTTATACAATTCACCAATAAAGCATAAAAAATTTAAAGGCAATTTTTTTGTAGGGGAGGATTTTCATTTTTATTACTATTATCATTTTATTTTTACTGATATGTATGAAGTTGGAAGTTGTTGAAAGTATGGAAGCTCTACAGCTGTTGCATGCCAGCGATTAGAAAAATGATCTTGATTCCAAAGGGGAGAGTGATTTTCTTGAATTATCATATTTTGTTGAAGATTTTCTTGTTGTTTACTAGACAATTTGGCACTAATTTTCTAAAGTAAAGTATTTTAGTTAAGATATTTTAAAATATTACTAAAATCCTTAATGAATAACTCATATCGCACATTCAAAACTTTAAGGCCAAAAATTAGAAAAAGCAAATGTTTAGGAAATCAATATTAAGTTTTAAAATTAAAGGATGATTTATTTGTATATAAGTGGTGTTTAGAAAATAACGGAGATTTTTAAATTTCGTAGGTTTAGAGTCTGATTATCAAAATTTTTTTTTCATAATTCTGGTACAGATGTCCCTGAAGTATGATAATATTTTCAGCCGGATTCATGTTTTACTTTGTCAGTAGTAGTCAATAAGGTGAGACGTGTTTCTATGACCTCAGCGATTTACGTTTGTTCAAAAAAATGGATCAAAGGATTTGTATCAAATTTTGCATAAAAAATAAAATGAAGTGTGTGAAATATTAACAAAGGCCTTTGATTAGTCTAACACAAGTAAAACAAGGATTTATGAGTGGTAAAACCATTTTCAAGATGGCTGTGAAGATGTTAAAAATGAAGGACGCCCCAGTANTGAGTCTAACAAGTAAAACAAGGATTTATGAGTGGTAAAACCATTTTCAAGATGGCTGTGAAGATGTTAAAAATGAAGGACGCCCCAGTATATCAACAACCGATGAGAACATAGAAAAAGTGAAAGAAATGGTTATGAACGATCACTTAATCACAATCAGAGAAGTCTCATGATGATGTTGGAATATTGATTGACTTATGCCACGAAATTTTTTAGAATGTTTTGGGTATAAAACACGTAGCAGGGAAATCTGTTCCAAAATTCTTGAATTTCGAACAAAAATAGCGACGAATGGAAATTGATCAAGTTAATGAAGTCAACAACGATACAGAATTACTGAAATGTGTTAAAACAGGTGACAAAACATGGGTTTATGGATACGTTGTTGAAACAAAGGCTCAGTCGTGGAGGTATTCTGGATTGCCAAAACCCGAAAAAGGCTCGACAATTTCAATGGAACGTGAAGGTTATGCTCACTGTATTTTTCGATTTTAATGGCATGAATTCTTGCCACAAGGTCAAATAGTTAATAAGGAGTACTTTCTACAAATTCAATGCCATTTGCGTGAAGCAATCCCAAAAAAAAGGCCCGGATTTGCGGCAAAACAATTTATGGCTTTTGCACCACAATAATGCATCTGCTCACACTTCATTGCTTGTTTGTGAATTTTTACTGTAATGATGCCCTAGCCTCCATATTCGCTAGACATGTCCATGTAACATTTTCTATTTCCATAATAAAGAGAACCTTAAAGGGCTGTCGTTTTACAAGTGTAAATGACATTGAGAATATCGCTGAATAAGCTGAAGGTTATCCTAAAGATCAAGTTTGAGAAGTGTTTGCAGAATTGGAAAAAGCATTGGCACAAGTGCATAATATCTAATGAGGACTTTTTAAAAGGCGACAACATTAATGTAGACCAATAAATAAAGATTTTTTTTAAAAAAACGAAAATTCCTGTCATTTTCTAAACACACCTCGTAAATGTTAATACCGTTGTGTAATAATTAAATTGTAAGAAAAAAAAAATGATATAATTTTCTAAAAAATTGCTTTCTCTTATGTCAAAAAAATAATCCAGCTAATGTTAATAGTATTATTATAAAAATAAAATAAAAAATTACAAATTGATAGATACCTTAAAATCATATATATTTGTTGTCTTATAGTTTTAATAATGCAATATGTAATTTAATTATTGGAGTATATAAATTTATAAAGTAATACTTAAGTTTTATTAAAGTAAAATATATAATGACCTGTCTTTTCAGTAATTGGTTGTTTATTCTCCGTGCTTGAACTTCATTGTGAGTTATTATTGGACGATTTATACCATTCAAGTTAGTTAAGTCTTCAGAATTTTGCATTTCATCTTTAATTATTTTTCTCAAATATGGATCTAAGTTGATTGTGAATGGCAGAAAAACTCTTAGGTCACTGACTAATAATGTGCTACGATGGAAAGTTAAGAAAATTTCAAGTTTCTTTTCATCTTTATCCATTTCTATTAATGTATCTATTTCCTTGGTAGCTTGTATTTGACGCCGTACTCTATTAATAATTTAATATAAAATATAAACTTAAAATTTAAGTACAGCAGTAAAAATGTTGAAATTACTTTTCATAAAGTGTTTTTAGTGACATAGAATCATCAATAGTGTCCTCATTAGTATCATGGTAAATAATCATCCAGGATATTCTGTAGGGCCATTGTTCTGTAATGTTTATCCAGCTAGCTAAGTGATACCAATTAAATTCAAGGTGGAAAGCTTTTAATAAACGTCCTTAAATAGTAAAAAAAGAATTATTAGGTCATCAAATAAAAGAAAATTATTTTTACTAATTTTATACTCATAAAAAGTCTTTGATTAATTTAAATTGAATGATAAAAATATACTTATTTAATAAAATTAGTAGCATATAACCTATCATGAATTATGTTTTTAAAATAAATAAAAAACTAAAATGCAGTAAAATTCAATAACTAAAAAATATTTTATGGGAGTTAAATTTTAATTAAATTAAATTAAAACTATATTAAGAATATTATTAATTTAAAAAACTAAAAAATATTAAAAATATACTCAAAGCCACAAAAAATTAATGAAAAGTTGCGGATACGTATTTCGGAAACAATGTTACCATTATCAACGCTAAACACATACTAAGTGTTTACGTATCCGCAACTTTTCATTAATTTTTTGTGGCTTTGAGTTTAATATTTCTAATATTTTTTAGTTTTTTAAATTAATAATATTTTAATATAGTTTTAATTTTACTTAATTAATTAGCCACAAGTGATCAATTTTTATTATTTATAAAATTATAAGTAAGTTTAAAAAAATGATTTTTTTTAGTTATTTAATAACTTTTTATAATTCACAATGTAATATTAAAAAAATTAAATTTAATAGTTTATACTCATAAAGAATAATTTTAAAATACCTGTTATATAAACAATATTCATGAGACGTCTCATACTTCTTGGATTAACATCACTAAAATAATCATCAGTTAGTAGAATTTTAGAAAGATCTTGTGGCCCTCCCAATCTATGAATATTGCTGGCTATACTACTAGCTATACTTTCACTTGATTTCAGTTTGTTTCTTGTAGAACTAATATTTCCCTTGCTTCTGCTTAAACCACTAGATGACCCCATAATAGGTTTTAAAGTGGTTGATTCATTTGATAATCTTCGCGTTGATGACTTATAAAAAAAGTTGCATTAATGAATTTTATTGTATGAAAATTGTTTATTGATTATTAACTTAAGCTATTGGAAATTTTAACAATAAAAGAAAATTTTTTTCTTAAGATAAACAAATTTAAATAATATGTCTTCAATGTTAGCAATAGGATTTTTTTTTTAATGTGCTAATTACAGGGTGATAAGTTTATCACAAACCCCTTGGTTACTTGCAACATAATATACAATATTGAAAAAAATATTTTGTTTGTTTTAAATAGACATATTTCTTGATTTGTCAACTATTAATAAGTTTTTAGAATCATCCTGTATAACTTATATAGATGTCAACTTGATTTTTTTAAATGGTAACATATTTCATTACCTTATAAAATAGAAAACTATATAATTAAGAAAATGACTGTTCAATATCAACTTTAGGACCAGTATTTTAAAAATTATAAAATTTTTATACAAAGGCGGGACGAAGAGTATAGTTGGGAAATGACTAGTGATGAAAAAATTAGCCTCCAATCATTACTTTATATGGTTATTAACTTCTGAAATACTGATCAAAAAGTTGATATCAGCCTTTCATATTCTTAATTATATAATTTTCTATTTTATAAGCTAGTTAAATATGTATGTTGTCATTAAAATTATATCGTCTTTTATAATATAGGATAAATCATCCCTTATAAGAGATGATTCTAAAAAATAATAGTCAGTATTTGTTTAGTGCTGATTATGGTAACATTATTCTTGAAATATATATATGCAATTGATTTTTATAATTTTTGTAGATTTTTGAGTTAAATATTTTTTAGTTTTAAATTAACATTTAAATTTTTTTCACAAGTGATTAATTTTTATAAATACTTAATGGTTGATAAATCAAGAAATATATGTATCTAAAACAAACCAATTTTTTTTTTTGTGAGTTATCAAGTGGTTAATGATAAATGATTATCATCTATAGTGAGAATCGTATTACTTGGATACTTTTTTAAACAAGAAATTTTAAATCAATAAGTTCTAATTCTAATAAAGGTTAGTGATTTTGATCCTAATTGAACGATAATATTGATAATTTCAATAAACAAGTGGGTCTACTTTTTTACTTGATTATTTTTTTTATTAATTATTAAATATTTTGCCAATATTACAACTCTACATAGCATATATGTTCAAAAGTAGTAAATGATTCATAAATAAACATTATTACTGAATGAACTATTCCACATTCATCCAATTGGTTAGTAACACTTTTCCTATGTAACTGAGAAGACTTTTGAGCCAATTTCACTTTTCGCAAACCAGAATTTTGTAAAAAGAAAGGAAGGTGAACCATATTCCTTAAATATTCATGACCAGAAAAGTTCATATCATTGAATAATCTACGACTATTATTTTCAATGACCTAAATTAAAAATAATTAAAATCAAATTTAACATGCTTACATGATAAAAATTCATTTATGATCTACTGAAGTATTTAAAAATATGATTATTCAACCTGAGATATAGCATGAGGATCTATGGCCAAAACAACAATAAAAGGAGTGTTTTGTTCGGAAAAAAGCATACGCACAGCATCTAACAAGAGAAGTATTTTATCTTGTTCACAAGAATCAAGTCCATCAATAACAATTACTAATCTAGTTTGTTGCTGAGTAAAAGCATCTAAACATTTAACCTAAAAATAAGTATTAAAATAAATATAAGTAATAAAATTAGTCCATTAAGAAATAAAAGTATTTGGTTATTATTAAATGTATACATAACATTGTGTCAGATATAAATTTCAACTGAGTATAATTTTTTAAGTAATTATGTAAAACTCAATCATTTTTTGTAAATTTATTAGTGTAATATTTAATTTTTGTTGAAAATTTATTCTTTTTCCAATGCAATAATAACATACTAGGCTTCGCCTAGCTGGAGCTCTGCCCCAAACCTAAGATCAAACAAGACTCATACGCCTTCAGCTCATAAACCTCTTTGGGCTGTTCTCATAAGTAGGCCACTGATTCCGGTAGGAGTAAACGGCTACACTTATACAGCACTTATTGTTGACGATAAGTGTTATGCAGGAAAAATATTACATCAGAATCAGTGAAACAAAAATATATAAAAAATTTAATTAATAAAATCAGGAAAATTCAAAATGAGAAAATAGTTAAAATGATAAATTGGTGTCTGCGTGGTGTGTTGACATACAGCTATTTTTGAATGTTTGATAACCTCCCTTTATAAAGTCTTCGTTACATTTTTTTTGTGAACATAATATTTTAGTATTTAATATTAAATAAGTTAAACAAATAAACCAAATTTTTAAATATGTTTCAATATAAACTTAAAAATATGTACTTAAATTAAAAAAGTAGAGTATAGAGGGATCCAGTATAATGGAATTGAGGTATTTTTTAAATTAATATTAATTGATATCTACCAATAATTAAAATCACAGTTATAAAATGTTATTATGTATATTTGAAACATTAAAAAAAAACTTTAACATTTCAACCAAAAATTACAGTGTTTAACATAGAGGTTGATTACTCAAACAAGACAAGTCATTAGAAGGTATTTCTTTTTTTAATTTTAAATATATTAAACAAGGTTTAATAATTTTGAACAAGTTTAGAATGATGCAAGTATTCCGTTACTATGCAGAAAAATTCAAAAATCAGTTAACTTTGCCAAATATTGTATGATTTTTGGCTTTAAGTCCTAGAATTAAAGATTTTAGATAATTTTTAATTTTTAATTTTATCTTGAGTAAATTGTAATTCAATGTGGGTATGAAGAAGGTAGGTTTTTTAGAACATTATCAAAAATTAAAAAGAAAAAATTTTGATATGATTTTGAAGCCTGTACAGTATTTTAGATAATGATTGAATTTTCAAAAAGCATGCTGTTGACAAGCCAATTATTTGAAGTATTATCAATAAGAATTTTACAATAATCTGTCCAATTTTAAAAAAGTTATTTCAGTATAAAATGAAAACTATAAATATTAACATTAAATGTTTTATGAAACTGTAATTTTTTATGATCTTTTTTTAAGCAAAATCTAACCAGTAGGAGTAGTAGTAATCATGTATACAAATACAAATAATAACACGTCAGAATAAAAACAATACCTTCTTAGCTACATATTGAAGTTAATATAAAATATTTACTATTTATTATTAAAAAAATAAGACAATAATTTTTTACCATTTCAGTCATCAAATTTACTTCTGATCTTAATGCTTGAATAAATCCTTCAGATTTTAGTGTATCTAATTTAGATGTAGTTCTCCTAACTTGTTTCCTTTGTGAAAATATTAAAGACTGTATTAATTGACTGAAAGTATACAAGTTACCAATAACTAGAAATAGTATAAATAATCCACAGCTAAAAAGTATTATATTTCCAATGGCTTGGTCAAAAGAAATATTTTCACTAGAGAAAACAAAAAATAATCATATCAGTTAATTAAAATATTAAACACAAATAATTTGAAGGATTATATCACCAAAAAATCAATTTTTTTTTATTTTTTAAAATTATAACTACTTTAAGTTGTTGCACTATAGATTAATTATGATCTCAGTCATGGAAAAGGTTTTTGAATTGTTATAAACCAATTTTTTTTTTGACTATTTAAAAATCAATAATAGGAGATTTAAAGTAATTTTTTTTGTGTTGAGCAATCCTTTAAATGTATTAATGGAAACTTACTCATTAAGAGAAATTTTTCCATAGTTAATGGCAATAACAATAGAACCTAACAAACTACATATAAAAGCCAGTTCAAATAATAATATATTTGGCATACAACATAGTTTTCGCCATTTCCAAGGTGAATTTTGTTTCACTTAAAAAAATACATAAAATGATAATAAATTGTATAATTTATAGTTTAAAAAAATAAATAAATACCAGGTTTTGGACGAAATGCTCGATACAATCGAGTAGAAAGTGAGCCAAAATCCTTTTCAATAGAATCATACAAGGAACCAATCATTTGAATGATTGTGCTTTCACCGGGTGTTGTACTACTCACTCTTGTTTGGTCAGTAAAATAAAATCTATAGTAATATATTAATGTAAAATATATATATATATAATTTATACCTAACTAGATTAGTTAATATAATTCTTTAACAATGTACAAAAATTGGTATTTAATTATAATTAAGTTATATATTATTTGATTTATTTTATAAAATTATAATAAATATTTAATACTGATTTGTACAGTATATATTCTAAAAAAATAAATCAATTTATAACACTGGAATACTTGAAATAATAATAAAAAAAATATTATCAATTATTTTACAACTGAAAAATGCAATATATTGAATTTAAAAATGTCCAGCTATGTGTTTTTGATAGTATATTTATTAATTTATTTTGTGTTAAATTATTAAGAAAAAAAAATGAAAAGTTATACTCTTAATGCTACTGATTACCAGTAGCATTAAAGAATGATTAAAAGTTAAATCGGCTGAACTTTCAGCTTTTAATTAATATTTTTAACATTAAATAATTAAATATAATACCTTATGGGTTGTGCTGATACTGTAGAACCCCAGCTTGATCCTGGTGGATGACAAAAAATTATTTGTAGAATAATTCTGGTAGTTATCATTTTTTGAGTTAGGTAATTAATAGAATTATAGGCCCAATCCAGTCTATAAATTACACATATGGTTATCTCATAAAATAAATAATACTGAGGAATATAATATTTTTACCTATGGCTACAGTAAAATATTATAATTAGAAATATGAAAACTGCACTCAACAAAATAACTGTAGTTGCAACAGCTAAATATGTTGATTGGGTTAATACAATAACTAATGCTCCAGCAACAAAACTTAAATGAAGAATCACACCCAATATCAACCAAGGAAATTGAAAAAACGGATCAGTCCATTGATGAGCAAAATTTTTCATTTCCTCTAAAAATGAAATTGTTTATATTAATCTAATTTTACATCATTTTTATAAGGAAAAGGAAACCTATAATTAGGAGCAAAAAGATGCTCAAACACTACAACTACATTGATTGAAGGTCTAGGTCTAGATAAGTTTATTTTTATTCATTATTTTATCTTAGTTAATATTTGGATTATAGATTTTGATTAGTTGAAAATGAAATTTACACCAATTCATTTTTTGACAATACATTTAAAATATACCTCTCAATTTGTTAAGTAAAAATGACTTCCCACTACCCCATTTAGCATATAATCCAACAGTAATTGGCATTGATAATGTGGGTTCACTTAACATATCAGCCATTGCACTACTATATAGGTCATAACCCAATAAGTTCTCATTATCTTCATTAGTGTTTAATCTTCTTGAACCAAATATTTGACTTAGAATTGGCTTTTGAGCATTGACATCCATATTATATGGTGTTTCACCAGCTCTATTAGGTCTGTATAACAATTGACTATTTTTTGGGTTACGAAGTAAAATCTCTACAATGCCTCTAGCTCTTGCTCTCATTGCAATATGTAATGCAGTATCACCACGTTTATCTGTGGCTGACACTCGAGCACGTTTTTCAATTAAAAGTTGTACAGCTTCAGAATTTCGATTTCTAACAGCTCGCATGAGAGCAGTATCACCATCCTTAATAAAATAACATCTATTATTTAATATGATTTATGTTTAACAATAATTAAAAACGATTAAAGTCATTTTACTTTAGTTGAAATTTCTAAGTCAGGATTTGCACTCAGTAATAACTTTATGATGGCTATATTTCCTTTTTCTACAGCAATATACAATGCTGTTTTACGTTCCTAAAATGTAAAAAATGTTCAAAGAACGGCAATATAATAGTTTAAATTTTGTTTAACAATATATAAAAAATAATAAATAAAATATCTTATTCAAAATGAAAAAAATATTATTCATACATTGACTGAACGTCAAACAATAATGAAAATAAAAAACAGTAGCATAGGGTGGACTTGGCATAGTTGAGACAAGTATAGATGAAATCTGACAATGATTAAAATCACTATCAAAAAAAAACGCTTCAATGCTAATCTTTAGACAGTGTTTAATTTTAAAAAATTGGTGGATTATTCCAAAAGCTACATGATCTGTTATTTCCTTATTAATATCCTGATTAAGATAAAGTATGTCGAATGAAAAAGGGATATAAATATTATTTCTCATAAAAAAATTGTGTTGATCCATACATTTTTCAATAAGTTATAGCATTATAAAGTTAAAAATGTAAAAAATAGAGAATTTTCACATAAAAAAAGCATTTGATAGACATTTTCACCGTGAAAACAAAATAAAGTTCGAAATTTTTTTTTCCATAATAAAGTACATTACATTATTATCTAAGATATATATAAAAGTGTCATACTTTCCGGAACACTTTCAAAAGTTAATTTTTTGCGAAAAAGTTGTCATTTTAAAACCCCCTTTGGGCAGGTAAAGGATTGAATTTATAAAAAAAAATATACTAAATGATTGGTAAAGTCATCAAGCATCTATAAAAAAAAAAATTATATAGATACGTTCATTTTTGAAAAAGTTATGGTAGTTTAAGTGAAAAAAATGACAAAATTTAAGTTTTATAAACTAATAACTTCAAAATGTTATGGTAAAATTTTTAGTATAAATGATTGTAAAAGTCTAATTCAGTCATTTTATTATTTTAATTTCAATATATAGTTTTTATAATAAATGTAATTGTAATAATTTATAGTATTTTACATCTTATAATTATTATTAAATAAATAATATGAATATTTTTTGTAAAAGTAAAATTAAAATTTATAATTTATGATTAATAAGTTAGTTTTATTACTTTTCCCATCACATCAACATCTGCATATTTTTTTAGAAGAGCTTCTACTATGTTCCGATGTCCACCTTTGACATTATTAAGTTAAAACATCGAAGCTAAAAACGGTAGCACAGTGGGGTCAAGGCACAGTGTAGACAAGGCATAGATGGGACAAGTATAGATGATATTTGACAGTGATTAAAATCACTATTATANAATTTGAAAAACATTAAAAAATAAATAAATTTATGTTTCTTTTTTATGCCACCAAATATATATTTTTGTATACAAATTTAACCTGGATATTAATATAAGCTCCAGAGTTCAATAAAGAGTTTGCAATATCATAATATCCTTCTTTACATGCAATAGTTAATGCAGTGCAGCCATCTTGATCTAAAGCATTAACATTAGGTTTTCGTTCAAGTAGGAGATTAACAACTTCAGTATGATTTCCTATAGCAGATACTAGTAATGGAGTCCATGAGTACTATAAATAAAATATTTATTAAAAAATATTTTACTACATAAGACATTTAATAAAGTGAATGTTTAATACCATTCCAGCAGTATCTACATTAGCACCTGCTCTTAGCAATGTATCGACCAATTCAATATCACCTTTTCGACATGCCCAAACTAACGCAGATGTTCCATACTATAATAATAAATATAAAACACATAAAAAATACAAGAATTTTTCTGCTATCTAAAAAAAGGTGGACCAGCTTTACACTGTAATAAGCTTCCTTTATTTATTATTTTGTTAAAGAGGTCTTCAAACTATGTTCCCTAAATTTGAAAGATAATTAAAACTTAAATAATTCAGGCAACGGTGTCAAATTTGCATTTACTGAGTACAACACTACAGTGCAATATTATGTTATTAGACTCAAACAAAATGTAAGACAAATTCTGGCACTATTAGCATTTTCAGGTCTATATTTAAAAAAAATGTTTTTTAATGATTCTTTTAGTTATGATTCTAGTAACATATTCTTTGCATAATTTTAAAATCATGTCAAGTTTCATATTTGAGGACTTCAATTGAATTCTTGCAAAAATTTGTTTAATGTAATCAACTACCTCTCACACTTTTCTGTAAAGCCTATCTTAGAGTAATGTGATCTACTTTTTATCACACAACTACTGAGTATATGCATTATTACAGATTTCTAAAACCTTATTAAAATTATTTAAAATTTTTAAAAAAATATTAAACAAGATCTTGACTGAAAACTGACATATTAATAAATGCCAATAATTTTTTACTTTATTCATATTTTTATTTGAAGATAAAAAAATGTGAAAAAAAAAACAAACATTATAGCTTTTATAAGCTTTAAATCACTTTTTTCCTGACATGTCTTATATTATTATTTTTTGTATGTGTCTAATATTATAACAAAGTACTGTATGCACAAAGACAATAACAATTAAAACAATCTATAATACTAATTAATATCAAATTAATCTATTTATAAAAAAATTAATTTTTAAAATTAAAATTTCGGAAATAAAAAATACATTTTTAGATACCTTATCACCAACATTAACTTTAGCACCCCGTGCTATTAAATTACATGCTAGCTCTGTATGACCCCTACCAGAAGCCCATACTAAGGCAGTTATATGAAAATTTCCATGGGCATTTATGTCAGCGCCTCTATCCAATAACACATTAGCTAAATTTGTATGACCACAATAACTGCACCATATAAGTGGAGTCCATCCACCCTTAAAAATGATGTAATCAAAATTAAAAAAAAAAAACATGTATTAGTATGACTCTAATAATATAATATATATAAATAGAGTGGTCCACAATGTTTTGACAAATCTAATAAATTTGATCTACTAAATACATATATAATTTTAATACATAGAGTGGGTATATAGTTTATATGGAGTATGCATTATTATTATAATACATCAGTACAAGCTATACTCACTACAGCTGTGCTGCATAGCCTATTCTATGTATAAAAAATACTTCCAACTCTAAAAGTACTATTCTTAAAATTATTTTTAACATATTAAATTTTTTTTTAAGAAAAGCTCAAAAAAGTGACTATTTCAAAATTAAAAAAAATAATAATAATAACAAATGATTTCAATAATGGTCTAAAAATGAATAAATTATTTTTTAAAAAGTATCACAAAATATTTAGATGAATGGGTATTAAGTACAACAGAATTAAACGAGATAAAAAACATTTATTTTTAACTTTAAACCATACTATCATGAACAGAACAAGTCATTATCAACCAAATAAGGATAGGCCACACTAATCTAATCCACAGTTACTATAAAGTAACTAGACGGAAAAAGAAGACCCTCCAGTATGTCTTACACGCAGACCCTTTTTATAATTAAACATATTTTGCTGAATGTAAGAAATATGAAATCCAAAGAATCAGATACCAAATTCCCATAATCTCTAAGTAACTCTCAGACCAGACCCTGAATCAACAAGCAACCGAATGAATTTTCTTGAAAACTATACAGTTAGCCAATCTCATTTAATGTAACCAAAATATATTAATGTAAAACTCTAGTAAATATTGTAAATAACAAAATGTATTTACTGTGAACCCATGACCTGTGATGTCGAGGTTTTATTATACATATAAAAAAATATTTAGTAGATCAAAATTTATTATTGTCAAAACATTGTATATCACCTATATATATATATATAGATAAATTAATTGATCATTGATGACTAAATTTCGGTTAAAAAAATAATATTGTGTAAATTTCTTTTTTGTTCAAATAGAAAATAAGGAAACCAACTTTATTTTTTTTAATGGTAACATACATATTTTAATAGATTAGACGATAGAAAATTACTGGTCGATAATAACTTTTAAACCAGTATTTCAGAAATTATTATACATTTTTAATTATAGCTGAAGGGTAGGTAAGGCATATGTTATTTTTATCATTATACATTTCTCTGCTGTACTCCTCTTTTCACCTAGATATGTTCATAACTTCTAAAATATTAATTCAAAAATTATCACTAACTAATAATTTTCTTAGTTGAATTAATTTCTAACATTTAACTTTATAAAATATGTATGTTACCATTGAAAAAAATAAAATTTATTCTTTTATAAGAGATAAAAGATGAACTTAAAAAGTATTTAACTAATTTTTCATTAAGAAATAAATACTACTTGAACAAAAAAACCAATGTTCACAAAATTATGAATCAATCAGCTCATATAAATATATACCATATCTCTATGTTCAATGTCTGCACCATGACTTAATAGTTCTATGCAAATATCAATGTGGCCTTCTTTAGCTGCACATATAAGAGCAGTCCAATTATCCTAATGAAATAAAAATTGTTAGATTAAATTTAAAGGTAACAAAATAAATATTTAAAAACAAAACATAATAGTATTCATTTTTACATACATTGTCTTCAACATTCACATCTGAACCATGATTAATTAACTCTGTGACAAATTGTAATTTTCCTTTACTTGCAGCAAAATGCAGCGCAGTGGCACCATTCTAAAAACAAATACTATTTTAACTAATGAAAACTACTGAAAATATAAATTATTTTACACTATTATTGATTGAAAATTTGATCATAAAGTATTTTAATTAAACACTTTTTTTAAGGTAAAATTTTGCATGAAAAATGGACACTGGTGAAAAATATTCAGTGTAGTAATGACACTGATAATCATAAATTGTGTTTGTGTTTTAATAATATTGAAAAAACTAGGCAACCGTATTTTAGAAATATAACATCTTACATCATCTCGATCATCCACAAGAACTCGGCGATTATCTAGAAAACCTTGAAGACCTTCAAGATTGTTTTCTGAAATATAGTTGTGTAAGGCTCTGTAGCACAATGACACCATTGAATCGCTAGGGTGCAAGTTCTACAAAGTATTAATTAAAAAATAGTTATATTCTATTTGTATATATTATAGAAATTTATTTATTAAATTATAAAATATGGTAGCACAGTGGAGTCATGGCACAGTTGGGACAAGTAAAAATATCTAACAGTGATTAAAATCACTATCATAAGAAACGCTTCGATGTAAATCTGTAAATAGTGTTTAATTTTAAGAAATTGGTGGATTATTCTCAAAGCATCATCAACTCCAAATTTCTTCATTATTCCTAATTAGGAGTTGTATGATTTATAAGTATAATATATAAATAAATATCTTTTATATTTAAAAAAATGCTATTTTGAATCCCCCATGGATAGGAAATGGATCAGATTTTCAAAAATATTATATAAATGATAGGGAAATACATATTATACATATTTTTCAAGTTTTGAACGCCCCCTGTATAAAGGGAAATTATCCAATAGAAAAAAAAAATATGTCAAATGAAATTTTTCTAAAAGTTATAGCAATTTAAGTACATTTGCATGTAGAAAATAAGTCGTCGGGACAAATTTTTTTTTTAATTTATAGTACGTAACATAAGCTTTAATTTAGCGTATGTTTAGAGGATGTAATATTTCCGGAACATTTTCAAAAGTTAAGTTGAAAAAGTTTTTTGCTATTTTAAATCGCCTCCTGTGAGCAGGTAAAGGGTTCGATTTTCAAAAATATTATATCAAATGAAAGGGAATTACTTAAGGTTTAAATATAAATAAAAATTTTAATTTGTTCATTTTTCAATAAGTTATGGCAACTTTTAGAAAAAAATATCTAATACTACCGATTTTTTAAATCGTAATTATTTGGGGGATTATTACNTAGAAAAAAATATCTAATATTACCGATTTTTTAAATCGTAATTATTTGGGGGATTATTACCATTTACGGGGAACGAAGGAAAATTTTTCAATTTTTGAGGATAATGTATTCAAATAAATAAAATTTGTGATCTTTTTTGACGTATCATTAAGAAAAATAGGTCCAGTAAGAGCTGAGAAAAAGTAGTGACACAAAAAATAAACATATCATGGTAAAATTAATACCTTCTCAGCTTCGCATCGAAGCTAAAAAATTGAATACATGAATTTAAAAACTAAAGTTAATAATACTAAGAAATTGAAAATAAGAAACTAAGATTTTTGATAAAATAAAACTTTTTAATTATTAATTTTTTTTTTTTTTTTAATTAGTATAGATTTAAACCTTGAACAGGACTAGATAAAGAAAAATTCCTTTAAAAAAATATTAAAATTTATGCACAGTGTTGAATTTAGACTTTTCTATCGAGGAAGGGAAGTTCTAGAAGTAATGATAGCCAGAACTTTTTATGTGTGGTTTATTATTTTAAACTAATTCATTTTTTTGTCCATAGTTTTATTAAATTATTATAAAGAAAAAGGTTTTTAATTCATTAAATTAGTAATAGTGTTAAAATATATTTTTTTATAAAAGTTAAAATTTTTATTTATAAAGAAAACTTAATATATACTCTTACATTTTATTAATATTAATAATAGTTCATATTGCTAATTAGGGTATAATAAATAACAATTTAAATCTTAATAAAAAAAACATTACCCGTAGCAATGATGGGAATTAGTAGGATAAGCCCCATCCCAAATATTTAGAAAATTAATTTTATTGTTATATTATATTATATTAATAATATTATTATGATAAATATTTTAGGGCAGGGAAAAATATTAAATATTTAATAATTCCTCAAATTTTTTATTCTATTTCCGTCTATGCAAAACTGATTTCTTTGGTTGCAATATTAGGAAAAAAAGAATACTTACTAGCAAATATTTTAATGTAGTGGAAAAGATTTCTAAATAACTTTCTGAATTTTTAGTATTGTTAGTTAAGTAAAATTAACAATATAAATAAAGCAAACTTCAAAAAAACTTAAAATTAATTATTAAAAATTACTAATATTATTTTGAGTACCAGAAACAAAGTATAACATATCTTAATAAAAATATTAATTGACTTTTATAATACCACAACATTAAATGTAGTAGCAAAATTAAGTTTTAAACTTTTTATTTATTTTAGATAATATCTAAAATAATTATAATAAATAATATATTTCTACATTTAATAAATTAATTTAATGATAAAATACTTGGGTTTCTTGCACTCAAGAATTATATATAATTATTTAATAAACAATTTTTATATATACTAAAAAAATTAATTGATGTAAATATTACGTCCATAATTTTTATTTCGCTCTTAGACTATAAAATTAATTTTCAAAAAATAAAAGCTTGTTTTCCTTTAGTTTAACTATTAAGATTGATATTTATCCAGAGAAAATCTATAGAAAACAATTCTTTTATATAGTAAAATAATGATCATAACTAATATTAGCATATTGAAGGCTAGTAGAAATTAATATTTTGCACTAATGAAAATCAATGCATTTATTAAAAAAGTTTAATAATTTTAGTTTAATTCACACGTCACAGTAACTCATGTTAAGTACTTTAGTAATGCCAAAAGATACACAGCATAACTGACCGATGATGAAAATTTTCTGAAATTGGCGAAACTGAACCTTTTGTTTGTGGTATTATTTGATATTTGACTATCATCATATATTGGTCCAGTTATAGAAAATGATGGTAAACGATTTGATAAACCTGTTAGAAAACCTTGGCTATGAGATCTTTGTGGCCTCCTCACACCGCTAAATTCATTTGTAGTTGGTAATTGTAAACGTAAAAATGAAAAACCCCTAGAATATCTTATGTTCACTGGAATACTTTGACGATCTTCGTTATCAGACATTGTCTTTTAAATTAATTTTATCTGAATTGAATAAATAAATTGAAAAAAAATTTAATGAATATTATATACTTAGTATAAAATAAATTATTAGAATTTCAACTTTATAATATGATGTAATATGGCATAAAAATATTTTGTTTGTTAGTAACAAAACATTTTTAAATTTTTTTCTCAATAAATAAAGAAGGTAATTGTTTAGAAGGTGACTAACAATTAACTATTTATAAGTATTATGTACTTTATTTGAAGAAATAGTGTTAATATTTCGTGATTAACATTATTACAGTAATAAATTCAAACTGATCATATAAAAAAAAGTCATGCTAACTAAACCTACTATATAAATAGACAATTTAAATTATTAATTGCCATTTTAACACATTTTTTTAAAATTTTATACAATCAATAGAATAAGTACTCTGAATAATGAATTTTACAAGCTAATCCAACATAAATTTAGTTACTTATTTATTATAAATTTATTAGTTGATCACCAACTAAATAATTGTTATTAGGAATAATTATCAATTTTTTGTTATCCAACCTTCTTAAGTTTCAACATTTTTTTATTATTTAAAAATATTTTGATTATATTCAAAAAAGTTTATATAACGTAATACTCATAATAATAAAATAAAAAAAGTATGATGAGTAATTAAAAACACAACTATTACTTATATTGTGTTATATGAAAAACATAAGTAATAATTTCTCTTGTATTACATTATTATTACATTTTATACATGTTGTTATTTTGTAATTTTATTTGAGAAACTATAATATATGAACAATTTCATAAGTATACAATAAATCATAATTTTGATTTTGATTTTAAATAAACAAAAACAATTAGTATTAAATAAAATACTTTTTAATTTTTACCTTATCTTCGCCATTAATTCTTTTCAGAAAATGGAAAAAGTTCAAAATACTACCATAACTCCTATTAATATTATAGCTTTGTGATAATGGTATTAGTTCAACAGAACTATGATTGGATCTAAATTTCCACAAAAGTTTAGGCATAGTTTAACATAATTATTTCATTTAAAAAAAAATGTCATTGTAAAATTTCATAAGAAATGTTTGTTAGAATTTTTTTTTTTTTAATAAATAATTATACTAAAATTAAGATTAATTTTATTCACACATCAGATCAATATAGGATTTTTTTCAGAAAATAATATGAATCACAGAATATGTTTATTAAAACAGGTGTCTAAACTACTAATTGAAAAAAACAAATACAATTATCATTTGAACGCCCCTCCTAAAATATATTTTTTAAATCAATGGATTTGTTATCAAGTGTTGTAAAGAGGTGTGTCTCAGAGAATATGTACCTTTTATTTAATTGTAAATATATATTTAAGAATTACAATACGCGTTTTAAAATATAATAATTCTGTCAAAATGATTAGTGAAGATGTTTGATTATCCTGTAAACTATGATATGAAATCTAAATTAGAAACAAATAGGTATAGATAATTTATAGGAAAACATATAAATAAATATAGATAATAATTTCATTAAGAAAATAGTTGTTCTCATTACATATAAAAATACGCACTTGGTAATTAAACACTGAACAGCAACCAATTTGTTTGTAACAATAATTACGAATATTTTCATAAAATCGAAAAGAAGAACAAACCATTTTTATTTACAACAAATCTAATGATGTTTAATAAAAAGCAAAAATTTAAATCATTATAACAAAAAATAGAGACGATGTATCCTAAAAATGAATCATATAATCTATTTGTACAATGAAATATGATATTATCACGTTTAAGCAGAGTACATTTAAATAATTTAAAACAAATAACTGATTAATACTAATAAATAAATGGACGGTTGTTTACCTATTCTAAAAATAACCCTGTGCATAAATGGTAGATAATGCAAATTGTTGATCTAAGAAAATACTCCAATGACAATTTAAATCATGATAGATTATTTGTCAAATAGTATCTTTGAAAAAAGAGAATACGGAATTATAAGATATTGATAATCTAAAGAAAAACTTTGTTGATCTAACTTGTTTACCATATGTTGTTAATGACATCACTGGCTTGGATTTAGTTAAGAAATTTCAAGAGAAAATAAATTTCGTAACATTATATATTTAAAAAATCAACGAATCTTATCCAACTCGTGACGCGGGCTAAGTAAACAAAAAAAAAAAATCGGTGTATGTTATCGCGAAGCAGAACGGCTCTATTTAAACTGGCGATGCGAAATATCGAATAGTAACTATCGAACTATTCGATAGTGATTCAAAAAATATTCGAATAGTTTTACTATTCGATAGTTTATTTTAAAAATAAACTATTCGGTTGTATAAACACAATTCGAATAGTTATTTGATAATTTAAAATATTCGAAAATACCCATCACTATTATGAATTGTATAATAATTTATTTTAAGTATTCGTTAATTATCTTCTTATTATAATTAAGTGTACTTAATAAAAATTTTAAATAGAACTAATCGAATATTTTTGAAAACCATTCGGTAGCCTATTTGAAAAGTTTGTAAAACTATTCAATAGTTTATGCTAAAAATAAACTATTCGGTTGTTTAAACTGTAAATACGGTATTTTATTCAGACACGTTAACTAATTATCTACTACATCAATTTAATCCTAGTAAATTGTAAAATATCAAAAATGTTGTGCAGATGATCCTTTTATAAAAATCGTACGGATAGAAATTGAGTTATTAATGATAATATGTTAACTTTTTAATGAATAATTCTATTTAAGTAAAAGTTCACGGAGGCTACTTCGCGCGTCGTCGTGTATACCAGTTCCCCACTTAATTCCGCGTAAACAATAAGTGCACTAGGTAGAAAACAAATATTTATGACGAATATCAGTTTCTCGGTTGTCCTTGAATCATTCGCGCCGTTGTTAAGATGTCATCGTTTTCTTTGATTGTTGAGTAACATATTCTTGTCGAATAACCTATCTTTTATAACAAGTGCGAAGTATTCGTAGTACCTACAACAATTATTATTTTTTACTTGGCATTAATTAACGACTCTAATGCACAACCACAAGACAATACAGCCTTTTAATTTTCCATCTGCATCAAGATGCAGCTGAATTTATCAATGCCCTCATACGATAAAGTTAAAAATTGTTTAAAACATGAATTAATATCAATATTAATATGTTTAAATTACAATGACATTAGAAGCAATAAAACGCTTAACTCTATTTTAACTTTTCCAATTATTGGCAGTAAAGAACTTGAAATTTATTATTTGATGAATTTAGTAAAGAAATAATAGTTGATATTAAATATAGTAGCTATAAGATAACAGAAACCATTTAAATACATTGTATGTATCTAGTACAAATCAATATATGTATGTACAGTTTTAATTATGAAATTAATTATAAGAACAATTACATGATATATTATTAATATCTCTGCCAACAATAATCATACAAATTGTTGATAACACTTATAGATTATATTTTACGATATGCCACCACGAGGAATCATTACACAAGTTTAATAAAAAATTAAAAATTTAGATTAGATGTTAGATAACCTAATATCTAAAAAAAAAGACGGTAGCATACTGGGGTCGCGGCACAGTATGGACGTGACATAGTTTGGACAAGTATAGATGATATCTGACAGTGAATATAATCTCTATCATAAGAAACGATTCAATGCAAATATGTAGATAGTGTTTAATTTTAAGAAATTGTTGAATTATTCCAAAAACAAAATTAAATCTTATTTCCTTAATTTTAACCCGATTACTTATTTGATTTATAATTTTAATATATGAATAAATAATAATTATAGTAATTAAATTTAGTATGAAATTGATATTCAATAATTTAATATTGTAATTTTTACGGAGATATTATAAAAATAATAAAGTAGTTGTACATTTCTTTACTTTTAATGCGTATAAAAATTTAAAGGGCTTGATGCAATACTTTTAAATAAAAAATATTAGTTACTTATAACAGAATTTATACACTAGACTACAAGGAACTTTCATCAGAAACAAAAATATACTTTTCAAAATCAACTATTCGCGCTGTTTTCAAATGTGCAATTGGACTTTTTTTATCACTTCTAAGTTTTAATATTATTACTTATTTTTAAAAAAACAGTATTTAAATATAAAAAAAATAATTAAGATCAAAAAAAAATTGTTTTAAATTAATATATTAATTTTGATTATTAATATGTTAAAAATAAGGAATATGACATATTTAACATATTTTTTTAATCCTTTAAAGTTGATTTTTGTGAAACTTATTAACAAAAAAAAAAACTAATTTATTATCATAACTTTTAGCTCAATTTGCAAGTTTAAAATTGACATAATTAAATAGAAAATTGTAGTTCAATATTTTTTTGCATATTAATCGTAATAGATAACTTAAAAAGATTCTACGATTGAAATATGAGCTGAATTAGTTTTAATGATTTACTTTAACTAAAAAAACTAATAAAAAACAAGTTGTTATAAAGATCTACTTAATAGAGCGTATTATAAAATTTCATTATAATTGTAAAAATCCATTGTTTATTCAGGAGAAACTAACAATCATTTTTTTTAGAAATGATTTATATAGCAACATGTTACCAACAAATTTGGAATATTATAGTCTAGTAGTAGCACACACAAATAGAGTAAAAAAATGATTAAATTACAAAGTAAAATGATTTAATTTTGTATTTGAAACTTATCATATCAAACTTGGATTCGTCAATTAATACTTTGAAAACATTAGAAATTAATGATTTTAATTGTCTATATAGAGAACATAGGATAAATAACTGTTTAATTGATAATTTAGAACTTTTTTTTAATTTTTGAATGTAATATCTTTAGCTAGTTACGAATTGTAGTCATTTGACGTATCGTTGAAAAAAATAGGTCAAGTTTGAGCAGAGAAAATAAATGATAGTCACAAAAAAATACCTTCTCACCTTTGCATCGAAGCTAAAACATAAAATATAGTCTCTCTCATGAAGGGAGACTACAGTGATGGGATCCTTGATCATAATTGAAGTTATTGAATCTAAATGAGATAAAAATCAAACACGTTGAAAATTTATTTTATATTAAAAAAGAAGTAAGAAAAAAATGCAAAAAAACTCTGCTATACACGGGTTAGAACCTTGTACCCTAGGCGCATATGACACAAGTGTTACCGAATCGGCAATCGTACGTCGCTTCCGTCATACGAAAAAAATGATAATTTAAGTTAGTTCCAATTTCAAATTTGTTTTTCTCGACATAAAAAAGCAAAAAAGTTAAACTTTCTACGCTATATTAATTTGATTTATATAATATTTATAAAAATCAGTGTACTCCCCTTGTTAGGTATTTTAAAATAAAATGAAATACAAAACCCAGAAATTTAACACAAAAATAACATATTTTTGAATACGGTAATCATTTTCACAATGAAGACAAATCCAGAGGTCAAATTTTTTTTTTCAAACTAAAGTATATTACATAATCTTTAATTTAAGATGTATATAAAAGTGTCAGTATTTCTGGAACACTTTCAAAACTTAAATGGAAAATGTCCTAGTTTCAATACGTATGTTTAAAATTTTGACCCTCCTTGTATAAATTTAAAAAAAAGTTTGTCAGATGAAAGGGGTATATAAAAATTATTAATAAAAATAATTATATTGATCCATACATTTTTCCAAAAGTTATAGCAATATAAATTTAAAAATATAAAATCGAGAATTTTTTCACGAAAATCGTATATTTTTCATTAAATTTGATGTCCGTTTTCACCACAAAGACAAGTCCAGAGGTCAAATTTGTTTTTTTCAAATTAAAATATATTACATAAGCTTTAATTTAAGATATATATAAAAGTGTCAGTCTTTCAGGAACATTTTCAAAAGTTAAGTTTAAAAATTAGTTTTTTATGAAAAAGTTGTCATTTTAAATCCCCCCTGTGGTCAAGTAAAGGGTCACAAATAAAAAAAAAAA